TTAATTAGCGCTGATCAATATTGTTGCAATGAATATAATCAGATTAAATAATTTAAAAACCAGAGTCGGACTTGAAATTACTTTAAATAATTAAATAATTTTGTTGTTGTTAAAGTACCCAAAACAAAAAAAAAGTATAAAGTGTGACACATCATTGTACACAGGAGACCGAGTTCTTGCAAAAACTGTAATAAAAAATACAGGTCCGTATTTAAAAAAAAATAAGTTGACCTCTGTATCTCATAAATTATCAACTAATTTGAAAATATAAAAATATTGTCAGATACCCCTAATAAAGTGATTATGAGAATGTGCAATTAGTTTTTTGATTTTCTGAAAAGTAATTTAAATCTCGAATTTGTAGCATCCTGTATATATTCAAAAGAAGGTTCAAGAAAATACGCAAACATACGGTGGTCCAAACTGTATTCCGGAAACTTCGGTGACATATTCTGCAGATAAAAATAAGTAAAAAAGTTCGTCCTAAAATGCTTAGTTTCGGAGATACAGGGTGTAGAAGTTTCAATTTTATTTCTATTTTTTCCAAATCATTTCTGAAGTAACGTCAATATTTGGATGAAAATTGGTGTCTGAGGGTTTTTTGACATGAGAAATTTGATTTTTATGTCAATATGACTCCTACTTGTAGGGAGCGCCACCTACATATTTTTAACTGGTTTGAAAAGTAATAACTTTTCATCCGTACCTGTATAAAACTATTAAGTAAAAAAATATATATTTACGGCGTTTTTTACGTAAAAAAGGTCTCTTGGTAAATATCGCTACGAGTACTAGTTCTCGAGATATTTGGAATCGAAATTATCAATACCTATTATCATTGACATAAATTAAACATGTCAACTAAATAGTTAGACTGAAATCATAAATTTGAAATGTTTTTGTGTCAAAACTTCAACAGAAACTGATCATCATTTTTTCGCAGAAAAAATTATAATTAATTTAAAAAAATTAAAATTTCCCAAATTTATTATTTCAGTCAAATAAGTATCTACTCAACGTGTTTATTTTTTTCTCAATTATGGCATGTATTGACTATTTACATTCTAAATATCTTGAGAACAGTTGCTCGTAGCGATTTTTACTAAGAGATATTTTTTAAGAAAGGCATGGAAATGTATATTTTATCACTCAGTAGTTTTATACAGGTACGGACAAAAAGTTATTACTCTTCAAAACAGTTAAAACAAATGTAGGTGGCGCCCCCTACAAATAGGAGTCATATTGACATCAAAATCAAATTTCTCGTGTCAAAAAAAAAACCAGGTACCAATTTTCATCCAAATATTGACGTTATTTCAGAAATTATTTGGCAAAAATCGAAATAAAAATGAAACTTCTACACCCTGTATCTCCGAAACTAAGTATTTTCGGACATACATTTATACGAACTTTTTTAACTATTTTTATCTACAGAATATGCTGCCGAAGTTTCCGGAATACAGTTCGGACCACCCTGTATATCTACCTCGTTCTGTGCCCCTGTTTGAATAAGAAGACTAAGGAAGGAGCATATCAAAAATCTTAGGTGCACCGCGATGGGCCTCAAATATGGCCGACGTAAATTCCGGTTTATCAGTGTCGTTCTAACTTTATTTAAAAAATGTAAAACTATGATGTAGGGTACATGTAGGGTAGACGTGGGGTAGACTCAATAATTTGTTGTTTTGTTTTACGTTGTGAATAAATGTTATTAAAATTGTTATAAAAATATATAATTCTAATAAAAATAGATAAGTTATAATAAGTATTTATTAACACAAACATCCGATACGCTACTAAAGAAGGTAAGCCAAATTAACGTATCTAAATTCTTTGACATCTAATCTTTGACAAGTAATAAATAAAAGCTAAAATGCAAGAAAAATATATAATTTAGTTAATTTAAGTGAATTTCATAAATACACGTATGTATATTATATAGTCACTTACTAGCGAAAAGTTGTTCCATTATTTCACTCAATTTTTGCCGAGATCTACCGCACACTACACAATTTTAGAGTCTTTTTCGATAAATCGCGATATTGTCACTGTTAATTTAAGTTCTGCCACAATTTCCATCTAGATTTACTATGTTTATACAACTATCAGTAGTAGAATAAATAATAAATAACATAAAATAAGCTCCGTAAAAACTGACAAATCCACAAAATTTCAAATCAAATTCAAATGTGTCAAATGAATCGTCAAACAGAACTGTCAAGGATCCCCACCCTAGAGTGCTTTTTCCGCCCACCATGCATGAATACATGGATAGCATTATGCTCCTTCCTTAGTCTTCTTATTCAAAGGTGCCCCTATTAAAACAAAGAATAGAAAGAAGTGCAATGTGACAATACAAAATAATCAAACGATGCCTATCGGACGGCATTCTATTTTTTCTTCTCGCTTCTATTTCTAGTTGTTAGAGCATGTTAGGTTGTTAGGAAGTTAGAGCATGTAAAAAGATGGCTTCCCGTTTACTTTACACTTATTTAATTACGTATTGTTATTAATCCTGTTTACATTAAAATCCCCAGTCCAAAACTCAACTTGGTGTGAAAGTGATAATAATCAATGAGCGAAGGGCAGAAATTCAAGTTTACATAGTTCCAGCACATAAGTTTATTTATTTCAAGAAAATGCAAGTAATATGCATGACCAAAATGCCATTTACCAATTGGTCGAACGGTGTCGGTTATCGTATATAGATTTATGTTCCAGTATTGAGAAAATCGAGTTTGTATGGTTTAGGAACATAAGTTCGTCTTTTAGAAGATGGAAGTAATAAGCTTACGCCGAAATGCTATTTTCCTATTAGGGAGTTTTCGTTGCTTACAAATTGCAATTCCGGTTAACGCTAATTGACAACTTTGACATTTCAATTTCGATTATCGTATATCGTAACCGCTAGCTGCCGATATTTTACGGACGTTAGCCAAAGCCGTTAACATAGGTACGCATGCGCACTAGCGCAGTAGAAACACAACATTGAAAAATACATGTCTAACCTAACCTCATTCTATTTTGTTTATGTTTTGATTATTTATTTTATCTGTGTTAAACTCGTTGGGAATTCTTAGTGCTTCAACTAATCGAGGAATGTTTTTTTCAAAGCGGAAGTTAGCTTTGCACTCTTGGTCAGATAATATTTCTAGGTTGAACTCCCCATAAAGTTCTGCTCGATATTCGATGTTGTTTTCAAACCCTTCCAACAGCATAGCATCCTCCAAATCCGATTCATCACTAGAGTCCAATAAAATTAAATTGTCCATCCTATATAGCGAAACCCAATAAAGTCATATAAAGCACTTTCCAATCAAACAACAATACAAAAACCAAAAATCAAAACACTACGCTACGGGCTGTGCTCAGCTGTCAGTTTTCGGTTATCGTATCGTATGTCGGCTCCGAACCGATGAACCGAGAGTCCGAAAACTGTTTTTCTATCTGTCAAAATAGCGGTTATGGTTACGTATCCGTTAACCGTACCGTTGAATTTTTTTAAAGCAACGAAAACTCCCTATTTAGTATGGTCAAATTGTATTTTTTTGAGGAAAGTTTTGGGGTAGGTGTATATTGTTGAAATCGCTGTTTATATAACATTTAACTTAAAACTAATAAAAAAACACATATTAGACTTTAAAAATAAATTAAGAGTATTTGGATACAAAAAGTAGGTATAAAAAAACCAAAAAAACGCTAATTTTCAACTGACTGTTGAGCCCGAACAGTTAGTTCTTCAGAGAAAAAAACTTAATTAACAGAAATTATATTTACTTTAATTTTGAATAGAAAGATTATTTACGAAAAATTGATTTTAAGTTATAAACAAAAAACGCAAAAAATCCAATTCTTTTTCACTTTTTTTTACTTTCACTACATTTTTCTCCATGTTTCGTAACGAATTCTTGTTAGCAAACATCAGATTCGAATTCAGCACCCCAAAAAAACCTAATAAACAAAAGAAATTAGAACTAACCCAAAACTTTCCTCCAAAAGGCTTTTTTTGAGTACAAGGTGACCAGACTAATTGTACTATTGGTTCTTTGAATAAAAAGATTAAGGAAGGAGTATAATGCTATCCATCTATTCATGCATGGTAGACGGAGAGAGGGCCCTAGGGTGGGGATCCTTGATAGTTCTGTTTGACAATTTGAATTTGATTTGAAATTTTGTGGATTTGTCAGTCCTTACTGAGCTTATTTTATGTTATTTATTATTTATTCTACTACTGATAGTTGTTTAAAGGTAGTAAATCTAGAAGGAAATTGTGGCAAAACTTAAATTAACAGTGACACTTTTGCGATTTATTGACAAAGACTGTAAAATAGTTAGTTGCGTAGCGTGCGGTTTATCTCGGTGAAAAATTGAGGGAAATAATGGAATAACTTTTCGCCAGTAAGTGACTATATAATATATATATATATATACGTGGAGCAAATCGATCATTTATAAAATTCACTTAAAATTAACTACAATAATTATATTTTTTTTCTTGCAATTTTGCTTTTATTTACTAATGAAACATTAGATGTCAAAGAATTAGATACGACAATTTGACTTACCTGCTTCAGTAGCGTATCGGATGTTTGTGTTAATAAATAATTATTATAACTTATCTATTCTTATTAGAATTATATATTTTCATAACAATTACAATATCTACCAATATTTATTGACAACGTAAAATAAAGCAACAAATTATTGAGTTTACCCTACATCATATTTTTACACGTTTTGAATAAAATTAGAACTACATTTATAAACCCGATATTACTTATAAACCCCCAATTTAATTTGGTCATTTTAGAATCCCGTCGCGTTCGATCTAAGATTTTTGATATGCTCTTTAATCTTTTTATTCAAAGTATTGGTTGGAGATATTGGTATGGAGATTAACCCATAGTATTGGTATGGAGATTAACCCATATATGTATAAATATATCGCTTCTATTTTCCATCCTGTGAAACCGAGCTGATGAAATGATGAAAAGGCTTACTGTGATCTATGAAGAATATCCTTCCATCTGTATGCAGTCTTTCTTCCCAACCCTCAGGTAAAGGCCCTAAGTCGTCTTCGGGTTTTCTGTTTGCTGGTTGAACCGCTAGTTGGTTGGGCATAGGACTGGCCCTGCCCGTCCTTGGATCTACCCATGATGTCGTCCTCTCATGGTGGTTAATGAAAAACAGTCTGCCATTGGGTGCTCTGAATAACATATATAGTTATGAAGTCATGAACTAAGTATAGACTATACCATATACAATGACTGAAGCATACTAGGACTAATAACAACCGAGACCAAATTGTTACCATACTTCCAAACAGTACCGTGGTACATATTTTTCTTAAAAGCTGCTTGAAGAGATATTTATATTTTTGATAAATGTTTTGACTACGACTATAGTGATATGCGGTGGTATCATGCTAATTAATTATAAGAAAAAATGTTAACAAAAGGTACAAATTTAGTATCGACGTAGAGCACCTATCAAGTACATATAATATCAGAAAAATAATTACTGAATTCAATAAAAAAAAACGCTAAAAAGGTGGAGTGGACTGTTTATTTACCTATGAACCGTAACTCCTAGCCTTATCGTTAAGGCTTTTACACTTGAAAGCTGAACAACTAATTACCATTATAATAAAGTTTATTCAAAGTTCACTACACACAAACTATTAAAAATCGCTAAAATTGTCGCTGATGACTCACTCCTTACTTACAAAAAAAATGGCGTCTAACATCACAAATTCTGCTCCACCCTGTATATGGGCGTTACATGTTCTTGTATTCTTTAGTCATTGATCATATAAATAATACTCCTATAAAGCTAGTATATAATAATACATATCACAATTCAACTGCCAAGACAGTGAAATATTAAACCGTATTCAAATGAGAAAGCAAGAGTTTGCCGATCGTCAGAACCGATTGTATATGGCATTATACTAGTGTTGGGCGTTTTTTCCATGTTTTAAAGACTACTATTGTTTTAACAAACTACTGTTTTAAAAACAACTAATCACCATTGTAATAAAGTTTATACAAAGTTCACTACACGCAAATTATTAAAAAAATTGCGTCTAAAGCTTGTTTCATATAGACGCGAATCGCGAATTGCAAAAAGCGATTCGCCAAAAAATATTAGCAAAATTTAGACCTATTTCATATAGTCGCAAATTTTTAGGGACATTTCATTTTTGCTCCACTGAAAGTTACCAAAAAAAAATCATAACCTGAGATAACTTAATTTGTTTTATACATATTTATTCGTGTTTACGATCTTTATTTTATATTTTATAGCATACAATATGAATTTAAATTTGTTTAATAATTATGAATATCGATTACGATTGTGGGATTGGAATAGAATAAGGTGTAAAATTGCCATTTACTTATTGTTAAAACGTAGAAGAGAAGTAGAAGAGAACGGGTTTATAGCACAGGTTTATAGGTCATTTATGGGTCATTTGGGACATGTGAAATATTCAAATTTCGTAAGCAACAAGGTGCTTGTCGCAGTTTAATTCAAAAAATCAGGAAGAAAAATGAGAAAAAATTTAGGAAGTTTGATAACTTGGTTGAAGTTGAAAAATTGGCCATATATATCAAAAACATATTATGTACGAGAACCCATTTCAACTGGAGAAATGCTTTCAGTTACTTTGCGGCAGCGTCGTCAAAATAATCGATAACCGGATCACAACACCATTCTGCGCAAACGCGTACCTTAAAATCGCGCGAATATTCGCAAAAGTTGAAAACACTTTAACTTTCCCGCCCCCCAAATTTTAAATCTTGCGAATCGCCAAAATCTTAAAATTTCTGACAGCGCCGCCATGATCAGTAAAATTGGACCAATGAGAGCAGTTTCGCAAAATCGCAATTCGCGATTCGCGTCTATATGAAACAAGCTTAACATCACAAATTCTGCTGCAGCCTGTATATGGGCATTACATGTAATTGTATTTTTTACTCATTGATCATATAAATAATACTCCTAAAAAGCTACTTTATAATAATACATATCACAATTCGGCTGCCAAGGCAGTGAAATAGAAAACCGTATTCAAATGAGAAAGCGAGAGTTTATCGATCATCAGAACTGATTGTATAATGTTGATTGATGGCATTATACTAGAAGTCACTACTACTAAATACTAGTGTTGAGCGTTTTTATCCATGTTTTAAAAACATCGGTTAATAGTTTCGATGTTACTAGATATTGATTTTAAAACAATAGCGTTATGTTGATATGAACAAGAATGAAATGGTGAGGGAAACATATAAAAAAAAGGAAAAGATTAAACGGCCTAGCCCGTATACGGTTGCGAGTTGTTGAGGGCTAGGCCGTTTAATCCTTTCCTTCTTTGTTATGTTGATATATAGTCATGAAAATTGTTTTTGTTTTCACCTAATTGTAATATATGATAGGGCTACGTTTCACTTTTATTTAGTGTAGTTTTTTGTTAGAAGAGGGTAAGTTAGCGAAAAATGTCTAGAAAATAGAATAGGTTATTTTCATTTTTCTATTTTCTACTACTTTAGTTCGCCCAAATGAGGGGTCTTTGTTCACATATTTTATATATATATGTTCCCGTCATCCCTTCGTGGGACATAGGGCTTCTAAGAGATGTTTCCATCTGATCCTATTCTGAGCTGTCTGTTTGATCTCTCCCCATGTTTTCCCGACCTCTTGGGCTTCAGAGGTTACTGTTCTTCTCCAGGTATTCCTTGGTCTTCCCCTGGCACGTCTTCCCTGTGGATTCCATTCAAGTGCCTGTCTAGCGATATCTCTGTGGGGTCTGCGCAAAATGTGCCCAATCCAGCCCCACTTTCTTTTCTTATTTTCGATATCTATTCGATTTTGTGATGTTCTTCTCCACAGTTCTTCGTAGTTAATTTGATTGGGCCAGAAAATTCTCAATATTCTTCGAAGACACTTGTTAACAAACACTTGTAGGCGGATCCATGAGACCACGCGTAACCTTCCATGTTTCGCATCCATAAAGCAAAATAGATTTGACATTGCTATTGAAGAGCCGGACTTTAGTTTTTTTGCTATATATATAGAGGAGTTCCACACAGGTGTAAGCATGCCAAAAGCTCTTTGTGCCTTCAAAATCATTTCCTCTATATCTTTCTCTGTGCCCCCATCGCTGTGAACCATACTTCCCAGATACTGAAAATCATCAACTCTCTCGATGGCTCGGTTGGAGAGGTATAGATCTTGATTGTTGGGAGTATTTGACCTCATTTCTTTGGTTTTCGCCACGTTGATTTGAAGACCGACATTATTAACTTCCTCTTGGAGTCTAAGAAGTTTTTGAGACATATCCGAATGTGAATGGGAAAAGATGCATAGATCGTCTGCGTAATCCAGGTCTTCTAGCCTGCTTAAGAGTCCCCATTGTAACCAATCGATAAAGATGAGTAAAAAAAATTGTTAAAAAAACCTAACCTAACCAAACCAAACAAAAAAAGAAAAATATTTCTTCGTCTGTTTATTTTCTTCGTATATTTAAAATTAATATACAACGCGCCAAACGTAGCTCTCTTTTAGGTTATGCAAGGAAATATACCACCTGACACAAGTATATAATAATTGATGCAAAGAAGGTTGATAAGTTGATTTGTATGCCCCTATCTACCCATGTTTATAGTATTATGCATGTTGTTTCCATCGCTCTCTTAAGAAGAGCTATAACTACATGAAACTATATATGATATACAGGTAATATTTCTTATACAAAGACATAATATATTCAAACACATTTTTGATAGTAGTAAAAAGCTTACTTTTGTACACTCCAGCCTGGAGGTAAATCATCCCCTACAATAGTCAGATCAACTTGTGACGTATTATTGCTACCCGACACAGGGGAATCTCTTCTTGACGAATTATTGCTATCCACGTTGTCAAAACTCTGCAATAAATGCCAACATTATTAAATTACTACTTTGTCAATTATATCTGGAAACAAAAAATACAAAATAAAATGCACAAAAGCTGAAAATATTAAAAGAAAACGCAAAAAGATCAATCTATTCACGCGATTAGTATAGTATTAAACTAATCTTGAACAAACTTATTTGCATTTTCTTAATAACAAATAGTGAAAGAGTGCAGTACCAGAAAGATTAAGTACTAGCGCACAACAAAGAAAACATAAGCGTAGATTGTTACGACCTCATAGTGGCGGTAAAAAGCTCTTAGATTTGATAATAATTTCAACTAAAATTCTTGTGTAACATAAACAATAAATTTTATAAATAATACAACGTAACTTTTGAGCTATCGGATAAAACATGATGAAATAAAAATATTTACAAAATGATCTTCAAATAATTTGGTACTAGATGTGCCATTAATTGGATACACATTAATAGTGTATATATCTAAAATCTATCAAACCAGAGAAAAGGCGATTTCAAGAATGATACCTAAAAATTAACAAAAAAAAACAATTTCGTGTGGGTTAATATGTATCGGGCATGCGTCGCCCGTTGTTGTTTTTATGCAATTTTATTGGTTTGTTTAAAAAATATCAGATCATACTTCAACATGATTGAAGCGACGGATCGATGGAGGATGTATATGACCAATGCATAAAAACTCACCTTTACGTTTGACTTAAAATGGCAGACAACTATCACTGTCATACATTCCCTCATTGGGTACAATAATAGTACTATCCCTATTTTCACAAAATCTACACGACAATTATATCAAGTTAGACCAACCAAGAGGCAATAAGCTCATCAATACTCTAATCAATTTTATTGTATTATTAAAACAACATATTAAGTTAAAACAGTAAAAATTAGTATATGTAGTGGCTTTTCAAATAAATTGATTTAATATGGCAAATCCTAAAATTGAATTAATGAAAATATAGGAGCTGCACAGGATACATTGATAAATTCAAACTGTTGACTTTGCATGCAACTAGGGTCTTCAAACAGGACCAGGGCCCGAATTCTTGAACTTTGACATAAAAACGTTACGCTTTCAAAGCGGTAAGCGAAAGTATTCGATTGGCAGAACGCCAAGCAGTCGACTATGGTATTCTCGTTGCCGTGCAAATCGTTTTCTGGATACGCGTTGAGCACATATTAGCAGCATCGCAATTTCTCAGGTATCTAATAGTTAAATGTGGATAAAACGCTAAACGATGAAAAATATCTGAATTTTATAACCGATTGTTGAGTTATGTCAATCTATTTTTCTATGGATATGTCATTATTTTTATTATACGAGGGAAATGTTGAAGACCCTTCTCAGTATTTTCGATGTTTTGAAAAATATGCTGCCAAGTCGTAAATTCTCAATTACTTATTGAGGAATTTATAGAAGAAGAAATAGTTTTCACTAGAGAGCAAGAGAACGCGCAAAATCACATTTTTTTCTGTTTTTACTCACAGTTCGACAAGCAAAATGATCCTTAGGTAGCCGTTTTCAAATGGCTTAGCACAATGGGTAAAAATGCTAAGCACGTCAGATGAGAATACCCATATCGGTAGTAAAATGCGCTCTAACCAAAAATTAACGTCATATACGCTGAGCATCTAAAAGCGCTTAGCGTTTTCTAAGATAAAGAATTCGGGCCCGGTATATTAAAAACCCAATATAGCAGTGAAATTCGATGAGAAAAAAAAACAATGAGTTTGAAGCGAGTTAGAATGACTTCACAGAATATGCAATCAACAATTAATATAGTCCTGATAATGTCAATTCAGAAACTGACATTCTAACAAATATCCTTCATTTCAATTATTACTTGGAAATAAATAAATTTAAAAATACTTTTTTTCTGTGACAACAATAACATAAAAGCAATGCCGGCGCCCTCCACCGCCACCGAGATCAGCTGTATCTTTCCAGTCAGTTCCCGTTTACCGTGTTGCCGCTGCGTACCGCCCTGGCTGGTACCACGCACACTTCCACCGAGCTCCTCCTACTGTCACCTCCTTCGCTCTCTGCCGAACCATCGTAATCCGAATCTGCGACTGCGCCTGCCGGGTTCGCTAGGTCCGAACCCGCGTCGCTTATCTGCGAGTTCCTGTTGTCGGTAGCACCATTAGTTATGGTTAGTGGCGCCTCTAAGTGCGTTTGGAGGTTTCTAGGCCATACTGTGTCCAAGGATGAGTCTTCCGTTGAAATAACGTCTGGGTGCTGTGATGGTGGCTGTTCTTCATCATCTTCGGGTTGCTGTGAGAATTTGGGGGGCAGGGTTGGTAAAGGGAAGTAAATAGAAAGGAAACATAAAAAACGAGATAGAAATATTTTTTATGTTTAACCAATGGAACATATAAACAGTGTCCTATATTTTTAAGTAAATTCTTGTAATAATATATTTATGTGTACAATTAAAATATTTTATTCAAGACTTTTTAAATAAAATAAGATATATTTTTTAGTTAATTATGGTTTAAGTTTTACTAGATACTAATACTTAAACCTGGTAGTATCATTACATATTTTTATGTCTAAATAAAATTTAATGGGTAAACCTATTCATATTAATTCGCAGAACAAATTTTAAGAAAGAAAATGCGATAGTAAAATAAAGATTTTGGAATATAAAAAAGTAACGATACTGACCTGATTGTTAATAGATACATCTCCTCTGCTACCATTGCTTTGTTCTTCAGCACTTATATGATATCTTCTTTCAAAAACTTGTCTATCTTCACCTCGAGTGACTTCCTCAGTTTCAGGAGTATTACTTCTATAATAACACATATTTCAAATATAGTTCGCCTATTTGTTAATAAACGTTAAATAAAGTTAATAAACATAACAAGAGAAAAAAAAACATTTTTTATTTTTACGAAAGATTAAAATATTTTATTTGTTGCATTAAACCTTATTTAATTTTGCTCCTATGCCAGTATCTTTTTTAGTGACTACATTCATTTTATAGACTTGCAACGATTTAATATAGTCTGTCTAATAAAAATAAAAAAATATTTAATAATGAATTTAACAAGATATTATGTATTGAAATTTTGCCCAAAACACTTACGTTAATGTTGGTCTCTCCCACTGTGTAGTTCTCGCCAAATGATTCACAAAATACGTTCTGCCATTGGCATCTTGCCGCTCTTCCCAGCCATGTGGTAAAGGAGTTTGAGTCTCAGCAAGTGAAGAATTCACCAAAACTGGCTATAAAAAAAAACACCTATATAAATAAGTGCCTTTATGATTAGGAGTACAGGGTGTCCCATTTTAGTTGAAATCATACGATATCTCCGTTATTAGTGAAGATAGAAGGGTGCGGTTTGCACATACCTGTCCCACATTTTGGTCAAACGGAAGATGCCGCGAACAAAATTTTCATAGCCCCCTTCGATTCTGAGTTACAGTCTTTTTGAAAATTTTGCAATTTGGGACGCCCCCTGTATCTCTGTTATTGTTAAAAAGAGTTATTGAGAAAGTGAAAATTGTTTATCGTAGAACTTTTTATGGTAGAATACAGTGGCATAGTCTGTTATTCTACAAAAAGAATATTTTTAAAGATACGAACTAAAGTTATAATATTTATGTTTTCTTAAATCGAACACCCAGTATATTTATAAATTAGATGATCTGGTTTGGTTTGGTTTGCAATAAGCTTCTCAAAAATACATATCACTCTATATTTATTTTCACTATTTACTGTCATGTTTAAAAGTTTTTTTAAAAGATCATATTTATAAGTAGACCATGATTGATAATAAAAGAAACCAAAGAATTATTAAAAGTATACTGCTATCTGTTGTTATATTTTGGGAGCCACTAATAAATTCTTTATATGTTAGGGAAACTTAACTCTCTACTAACTCTCTACTACTTTTAGCTAATTTACATGAAATATGCTTTGAGCAAGATGGGGCTCTCCCTCACAATATTGAAAATATTAGAATATTGTTAAATTATTATTTCTCAAATCAATGAATTGGAACCAATGCAATGCAATGGACGCATATGTTGTCCTTCGTCATTTCCGGATTTGCCCGTTCTCGATTTCCGATTTTGGGGATTTTTGAAATATGAAATATATCGTGGCAACTACAACAATGTCGAACACCAATCTGAAAAATGTTTTAATAATACAAGCATAGATATTTGCAAACCCATATCGTTATAATAAATTTCGTTATAAAAAAAGAAAAATATATTCAGAGATTCAATAGTAACAGTTCAGTAAATCTTAATGTGTATGACTATTTTAGTAATACCATTTTGATATTTTTGTTATTTATCACGGCCTATTAATAAGAAAATGATATATTTAGTTCATATTTTCAAAAATATTTTTTTTATAGAAAAACAGACTACACCACTGTATTGTACGTAAAAAGTTCTCCAAGAATCAGTTTTTATCTGCTCTACCGGGTGCGTCTCAAAAGTGGCTCTCCCCTATAACTTTTTTATTTTTTTAGATAAAAAACGTGATTTGGTATGTTAGTATATGACATAAATTAGGATTGATTGGTGTATTCAATTGTTTTTGGTCACTTCCTGTTACACCGGAAATGACTACAACTTTTCATTTTTAAATGGCCCCCTCGGTATTTTTTTACTTTATTCGATAGAAAATGACATTCTGAATAGAATGACATATCAGATGTTACCTTTTGACATTCTCGCTTAATAAAAAATTGTATTTTAAAATTCAATCTAGAGTGCCATGGCTATGTTAAAAACACTAATTCTTTATCAAGGAGCCTTGGAAAAATAGATTTGATCGTCTAATGTTTTTAGTGTCTTGTCCTGGCCAGTTAGAAAATGTTCAAATCGTATTTTTAATCATATCTCAATTTTTTCAAATGGAACGAGGGTGGGTCATTAGCATATTTGGAAAAAGCATTTTTTTACGAATAATTTGATACCAATAATACCAAATTTTCGTTACGAACCGCAAGTTATAATTTCAAATAAACCATTTGCGAAAATGTCCAAAGTTGACATATGATATGTCATCCTATTCAGAGTGACATTTTCTATCTAATAAAGTAAAAAAATACAGGGGGTGCCATTTAAAAATCAAAAGTTGTAGTCATTTCCGGTGAAACCGGAAGTGACCGAAAACAATTGAATACATCAATCAATCCTAATTTATGTCATATATTAACACACCATCTCGTTTTTTTAACTAAAAAAATAAAAAAGTTATAGGGGTGAGCCAGTTTTGAGACGCACCCGGTATATCATTCACAATAACGAAGATACGGAGGCTGTCCTAAATTACAAAATTTTCGAAAAGACTCTGAAAATTTTGTTTACAGCATCTACCGTTTGGCAAAAAAGTGGGACAGGTTTGTGCAAACCACACCCTTCTATCTTCATAAAAATCATAACTTGGTGCATTTCAGTTGATTTTAAAAATTTCGACAGCAGCGCTCGGTATGGCAGAAATCCGAACTTTCCGGCTCTGTATTTCACGCAGCCGATTATAGTTTATGTTGATCGCATTGAAATAATATTAAAATTGTGGCTTTGTCATAACATATTTAAGTATTTTAGTATTTACTAGTGCAATTATTGAAACTATAAAAGTCTCAGTTACAAAGTTTGTGTGATGTACGCTGTTTCGAGTAGTAAAAATTTAGTGAAAAAGAACGCAAACTGGGCGACGCTAGAGATAAGCAAAACTGCAATTGTCATTTATAAATCGCTGTGACTGTAACCTGCGATTGCGATTATTAAATTGGTACGCTGCGCGCTGTAAAGATAATATATAACAAAATATAGTAAATAAAAATGGCTGAACAAAGTATCAAATATTAACAGACGTTCCTTACTAATTCCTTACCATAATCTGTCTTCTAGTTAATAAATAATAAAATAGATAATTTTTAATTTGAATCTACAAAACTGTGCTTATGAATAATTTTGTAATTAAATTCAAATGTTGCTATTAATTCATCTATTCTACAGGGTGCTACAGATTCGGGATACGAGTATTGCTATCTCGGTAACCGTAATAGATACAAACATGGTTAAATTGGGGAAAGTTGCGCTTCGGGATGTTCACCAAGATGTCATCAAAAAAGTTTTAAAAATATCAATGATTGCTGAGTTTTTTGAAAAAAGCTGATTTTTTTGAAAATCAATTTTATTTTTTCCTGTCGTTACTTTTTAGAAAATCAAAAAACTAATTGCACATTCTCGTAGCCGTTTTATTAAGCCTATCTGATAGTATTTTTCGATTTTCAAATTAGCTTATAATTTGTGAGATACAGAGGCCAGCTAATTTTTTTTAATACGGACCTGCATTTTTTATTTTAGGTTTTGAAAGAACTCGGTCTCCTGAGTACAATGATATGCCAGACTTTATAACCTAACTTTTGTTGTACCCTAACAACAACAAAACTATTTAATTATTATTTAAATAATTTCAAGTCCAACCTGGTTTTTTAAATTATTTAATCTGATTATATTCATCGCAACAATATTGATCAGCGGTAATTAACACTGAATAAGGAAAATCGAGCCAATAGATGGTATCTGATATGTTTCGGTTAATTTCCCCTGACTATTAACTTTGGCAATGACAAAATTATAGTTTGTAAACCTTTGATCGTTATCTGTTCGGTTTTAATTTAAAAATAGATGCAATCTTTCTTAAATTACTCAAAATCGGCTGGGCCAAAATTGTCCAAATTTGGCATATGTATCAAAAAAAATCAAGAGGGTAGCCAATATTTGAACAGTTCAAAATTTTGCCTGGAATTTCCTATGTTTCCCAGTAGCGTAATTACTATCTGTACTATTGTGCAGAGCCAACCTGCTCTATACGCCGGTAGACTTTGTAATGGAGGACTACGCGTTTTTAAATATTTCTAACTATACTAATGTACAGCGCAAGCAAGCTCTGTATCGCAGTATTGTTAGTAAATGTGTAAGTAGCCGTGTTTAAAAGCTTCTAAACATACTATATTTACGCTACGCGCGCTAGGCCAAGATAAAAACTTTTATTTACTTTTGTACTGTCAATTTATTTATCATTTCATTGTTGACTTAACACATTGACTAGTTTTAAAACAGTTTAACATTTTTATTTTACACATTATTATTAACAAGAAAAGCTTGTAAAAGGCGAGTGTACAAAAAAATAATAATATTAATGTGATTTTGCATTATTTCTATTTGCAGATACAGCATCTGCTAATGATCTTCCATGTTTACGTTTTCTAACAGTCCTTTCATTCTTGGCAGGCCTTCCAGCTTGTATTCTTCTAGACCCAGATGTCAATCCAGGCCTTTCAGCTCTTCGGCTTATTGACGTAGGTTGCACTTTTATTGTCTTCAGTCTACGAATGTTCTTCATTTTTGCAAATAAAGTCATGACATCGGCAGGTGTTTTAATCCTCTCTAATGAGTTATTTAAACGTATTATCATATTCGTTGCTTCCGGTGTGTTTTCGTTTTTCATTATTTGAACTATTTTCAAGAGATTAGCGCTTAATGTTTGCATAGCCATTTCTCGTTTGATATCGATCCCCTGCGTTACAGGCAAGGAAGATGTCTGTAAGGGAATAGCATTTGATGATGGAACTTCATCTATTCCAAAGTGAAATCTGGCGTTGTCTTGACTGAAACTTGACATTTCATTGTCAGGAGAAGAAGTTTCCATCATGTTCTCGAAAAATGCTGTATTTATATCAATATTCTCTCCCTGCAAAATCTTTTCTGTCATCTGATGAAAGTTTTGGAATATTATAGTTGCTTAAAACATGATAAGTTTCTTCGAACAGTGCAGCGCGTGAGAAAAAACAAATCGCGAATATGATCTGCGCTCGAGTATATTTAGGCGTAAGTAGACACGGCTAATTACACATTTACTAACAATACTGCGATGCAGAGCTTGCTTGTGCTGTACATCAGTATAGTTAGAAATATTTAAAAACGCGTAGTCCTCCATTACACAGTCCACCGGTGTATAGAGCAGGTTGGTTCTGCACAATTAGTACAGATAGTAATTACGCTTCTCGGTATGTTACGGTTAAAATCCGATATTCGGTTAATATCGACATTACCCGGTTAATCTCGAGAATAACACAAAACAAAACAACCAAAAACAAAACCAAACCCAAACATTAACCTGTTAATGTCGACATTAACCGGACATCGGACTTTAACCATGACATATATTATATATTATGCTGCAAACTACACATAAGCATACTTTCAACCACTTCATAAGTATGACAGGGCTCGGATTGCGATTGAGTTGCTAGACAATGCGAATTGTAACTGTGAATGTGATTTTGTCGATGCCGCGCCGCGTGTTGGGAGCTGCTGTGTTGTTGGAATCGCAGTGTTGAGAGCTGCGATCGCAACTCGCAATTGTGAATGAGGGCGCGCGGCGTCCGGCGTGTCGATGCCGGTGCGATCGAAAATCGCTGCGTCGGAACTCGCACTGACAAATCCCAACTGAAGTAATATTGGTTGCCTGAAAATCGAAAGTCGGCAGATAGATGTTTTAAATTTGCAATCGCAACTCGAAGTTTACTATGAAAAAGGATCGCAGGTTGCTATTGCAAATTTACAAGCGCTGCGATTGAATCGCAGTTTGCGAATTTCTGCTCATCTCTAGGCAACGCGTTATTTTGTGACAATTTCAAATAATAAAGTTAATAAAACACTTTAAATTAGATAATAAAATTGCCGAAAAATGTCAATATTAAAAGGAGAGCATAATTGCGTGATTTTTGGGTACAATATCACTCAATGCAACTCTCCCGGAACACCATTTTACAACTTCTCGGCTTTATCACGCCGGCGCCGATTCTTTTTAATCTACTGTTTAATTTTTTATGGGCGTATTCTAAAATTATAATTATGAACCTTTAAAATTTTCTGTTACAGTCCAAATAGTCCTAGTTATGTCCCAACTAGCAAAACCGGTACATAAAACTATGATCGCTACCGTAGTTGAAACAGCCGGAGTGTTATTATTAATATAAAAAGTTTTATTAGCTTGAGTAATAAATTATAATACACGTTAGACCTTCTGAAGATATTAAAAGATTTACATTTTTAATTTTTGTTAGACAATTTTCACAAATTGCAATTACTAATACTTTTCAAATAATATTATGAAAAAAATGTTCGTGTACTCGCCATTTAAACCCGTGTATTTGTATAGTCGGCTGTTACGGTATTAAGGCCGACGCTTACTAGACGGAAGCGCACGGTAGCGCGCCAAATGGAATTTTTATAATACATAGTTTTAAATCGTTTCGCTGCCGACCGCTGCGTTTCCGCCAAGTGAGCGCGCTCCCATTTAAAACTATGTATTATAAAAATTACCTTTTCGCCGCGCTGTCTTGCGCTCCGTCGCGCTTCCGTCTAGTGAGCATCAACCTTTAGGCGCGATTCTCGAATGTAATACTACAAGATGTTTCGGGATTACCGAATAATACTTTTACCTGACACGAAATGCGTTACCCGGCAACACTACAACTCTGAAGGAGGAGTAGTGTTGCCGGTATCGCATTGAGTGTCAGGCAAAAGTATTAGGTAATCCCGAAACATCGAGTTGTATTCAAAAGATTATACAACGAAATAAAGCCATTTTGTAATAAGAATTGACGGGATATTTTGTGGAACTGACAGAAATGACTTCTGAATTAATATTTCAAAAAATGACAATTACAAATCACTTAAGTGATTATCACTTATTAATCACATATAGAAAAAATTGGCGCCGGAAGGCACATATAGCCGCCCATACTAAAATATGTTAATACAAAGTTGGTAGGCAGTTCTTTTAGTTTTAAAGTAAAGGAATTTTTCCAATTTTTTTTATCTCAAAAACTGCGACTTTGACTGATTTTGATGTTATTACAAATTTTCTTACTAATATTATTCCCAATCTTAAATTGAAAACCGCGTTTCGCTAGCTACTGTAATTTTGGAGTTACGATTTTTTTAAATTTTTAAGGTCAGGTCATTTATGACCCAAATAACTAATTTTGAGTGAAATTAAAAAAACTTTTTTTTTGCCGATATTAATAGCCTACCAGCTAAAAATATACAGAGTTGTATAATCATTATAACGTCCCGCCACCGTCACCACCGTAAAAACTGTAAATTTTGCTGAAAATATTTCACAATGTCCTGGGAACTCTATGGTTTCGTAGAAGCACGGGAGCTCTACGACTGATTAACCACAACAAAAATATTCTAAAACACTGGATTTACCTGAGCTGCTGATTCTTCTCTGCCTTCTCCAACGATCTCCCACTCATTAGTATTAATGGGCTCCTCAGGTGCCGCAACTGGGGCATCCTCACCATCATACAAGTATGCGTGGTAAATCTCTAAGTGGCCCCTGACGCGTGATTTCACACTGAAACCGCTACGATGCATCAACATCACACCAGGGCAGGTAAGAGAGCATGCAAAGAGAAAAGTAAAAAAAGCACGGGACCCGTGATAGTAAATCATGGTGAAAAAATTAAATAATAGTAGAAGCCAAGAATATAGTCTGTCTAGCAAGAGAATATCTGATTTCAACAGACGTCATCCAATAATGACTGAAAAAATTTAGTTTTGAATTAAAAGGAACTCCAACAACTGGCATTCTGAACTATTCTTTGTGTAGACAGATTATAAAGGGATTTTAGCTATATACACTATAGGTAAGACAATGTAGTATTTAACAAAAATAAAGCTTTTTCGCTAAGCGGTCCGCAAAATTGTATTTATCTCATATTTACAATCATGAAACTAAATCTTGTTATATTAAATTAAATAATATATATTATGTGTTTATGTAAATAACTCAATGTTTGTGTATTATTGTTTCATAATTCTGCACAAGTTATTGTACTGTATGATCGAAAAAAAACGGCGTCAGCGATGGCTTTGAAATGAAAATCGCTGTCATTTGTTGTCGACCTGCAGGTTAAATGGAATAGCATCTCTGCTAGACTTCGCCTGCTGTCGAACGGCAATTGTTGGGAAATGTTATCGATTTTTTTTATTACTTATGTATTTATTCTTTTCTACCTTTGAATAAGAAGACTAAGGAAGGAGCATATCAAAAATCTTAGGTACACCGCGATGGGCCTCAAATATGGCCGACTTAAATTCCGGTTTATCAGTGTCGTTCTAATTTTATTTAAAAAATGTAAAACTATGATGTAGGGTAGACGTGGAGTAGACTAAATAATTTGTTGTTGATTTTACGTTGTGAATAAATGTTGGTAGTTATTAAAATTGTTATAAAAATATATAATTCTAATAAAAATAGATAAGTTATAATAAGTATTTATTAACACAAACATCCGATACGCTACTGAAGCGGGTAAGTCAAATTAACGTATCTAAATTCTTTGACATCTAATCTTTGACAAGTAATAAATAAAAGCTAAAATGCAAGAAAAATATATAATTTAGTTAATTTAAGTGAATTTCATAAATGATCGGTTTACTACATGTATGTATATTATATAGTCACTTACTAGCGAAAAGTTGTTCCATTATTTCACTCAATTTTTGCCGAGATCTACCGCACACTAGAGACCTGCACGGGCCGGTTTTTTGTAGCCCGACCCGACCCGGCCCGAGAAGAGAAGTAGGTTTTGTAAGCCCGGCCCGGTTTGTGGAAAGTTAAAACTTAAACTATTCCGGCCCGGCCTGAACCATTAAAATAAAATGATCAAAATAAAATTACAAAATCCTTTCAATTACAATTATTCCAAGTAGTTCTTTGTCGATTCCAGACAATCTATCAATTTCACATAAACATAGCCTAAAAATACCTGTTATAATAGAGGGTGTCTCAAAAACATGTACAGAATCAAAGTTGTATTTTTTTAAAGTGCGGAACCGGCCCGGCCCGAGGCCCGACCCCTATTGAGAGTGCGAAACCGGCCTGGCCCGAGGCCCGGTTTCGGGCCGGGCCGGGCCTGAGGCCCGTTCGGTCTACCCGGCCCGTGCAGATCTCTACCGCACACTACACAACCAACTATTTTAGAGTTTTTTTCGATAAATCGCGATAGTGTCACTGTTAATTTAAGTTCTGCCACAATTTCCATCTAGATATACTACCAAATCCACAAAATTTCAAATCAAATTCAAATGAATCGTCAAACAGAACTGTCAAGGATCCCCACCCTAGAGAGCTTTTATGGTGCCTTTTCCGCCCACCATGCATGAATACATGGATAGCATTATGCTCCTTCCTTAGTCTTCTTATTCAAAGTTTTCTACTGAATAAAGTCCTTTATTATTATTATGTTCTTGAATCTCGGGCTTTCCGGTATTTAACGTAGTCGCGGACTTAAGTCTATTATTATTATTATGTTCTTGAATCTCCGGCTTTCCGGTATTTAACGTTGTCGCGGACTTAAGTCAAACGTCAACGCTTTTTACTGTGTATTTAAGACTTGTCGTGTAATATTACATGTGTGGAGGATAACTGTTTTTTGAATGGGTATATAAAGTTTTGGTGCAAGTTCAAGGCCTTTCAGACTATCATGTAATGATTTTGGGATCAATCCTGTTGATGACACTATTATTGGTATAATTTTTACAATGTCCTGGTGCCACATCTGCCTTATTTCTTCTGCTAGGGGTATATATTTTTTAATTTTTTCAGTGTGTTTCTTCTTGACATTTTGTGAATTTGGTATGGATATCTCTATTAAGTATGTCGTTTTGGTTGGTTTGTGGATGTCTGGTTTGTTGTGTGGTGTGGTTTTGTCTGTGATTATATCCCGGTTCCAGTAGAGCTTGGCTGTCTTATTTTTTAGAACGTTAGCTGCTTGATATTTGTAGTATGGTGTATGGTAGCAGATGAGTGAATATTTCTTTGCTATTTCTTGATGGATTATTCTGCAAACATCGTCGTGTCTTTGGGTATATTGTCTGGAAGCAAGTATAGGGCATCCCCCGGTTATGTGTTCTATTGTTTCGGTTTGTGTGTGACATAGTCTGCATTTGTCTGTAGGTGTTTTGGGGTCTTTGATTATGTATTTCTGGTAATTACGTGTGGCGATGATCTGGTCCTGGATTGCTATTATGAAACCCTCGGTTTCTCCAAACAGGTTACCATGAGTAAGCTATGCATTGGATGCTGCTATGTCAATGTGTGGTTGTGTTAGTTGGTTTGCATGTTTTCCATGTAGGGCTTTGGATTTCCATTTTTCAATTTTAGTCTTTGTTGTTGTAATTGCATCAACTGGTATGAATGCTTCATTGTTGAATTGTAACGGTGTACCTGATGTTGTTAGGTTAACAATGCTTCGGTGTAGTGGGCTGGTAACTGCTTTCTCTCTGAAATATTCTCTGAGTGTGTGTATTTGCTTGTAGTTCATGTTCTTTAGATCCATGAATCCCCTTCCTCCTTCTTTTCTTTTTAGTGTAAATCTTTCTGTTGCCGCGTGTATATGGTGTATTCGGTACTTGTTACATGTTGTTCTTGTTAACCTGTTTAGTTCTTCTAATTCTGTGTCACTCCATTTTATAACGCCAAATGAATACGTCAGGACGGACGCTGCATAGGTATTTATTGCTTTCACTTTGTTTCGACCGGACAGTTCTGTTTTGAGTATTGTTTTATTCTGTTTTTGTATTTGCTTTTTAGTTGCTGTTTTATGTTGGCATGCTCTAATCCTGTTTTTTGTAGGTATCCGAGGTATTTGTATGTCTCATCCATTTCCATATTCTGTATGATATTTGAGTCTTGTAGAATGTATTCTTCCTGTATCGAGTGTTTTCCATTTATAATGCTGTTTATTTTACATTTATCTGTTCCTAGTTTCATTTGGATGTCTTCACTGTATGTTTCTGTAATATTGAGAAGGTTGTTGAGTTGTTTTCTGGTTGCTGCATAAAGCTTTAGGTCATCCATATATAGCTGGTGCGAGATGGTAGATGGATGTGTGAGTGAGGATATTTTATAAGCATCTTGGGGCGTTTTGTTGAGTAGGTTCGATAGGGGGTTGAGCGCAATACAGAACCAGAGTGCACTGAGGGAGTCACCCTGAAAAATTCCTCTATTAATTTGAATTGGTTCTGTGTGGATGAGTTGTTTTTTCATTTTGATGTTTAGGGTAGTTTTCCATGTTGCCATGATTCTCTGCAGAAGTTGTATGATTTGAGGGTGGATTTTGTATATTTGTAGAACTTGTATGAGCCAGGAGTGTGGGACGGTGTCGAAAGCTTTCTGATAATCTATGTATGCAAAATGTAGAGACTTACGTTTTAATTTGGCTTGAGTGTGTATTTCTGCATCTATCACCAGTTGCTCCTTGCAGCCCCTAGATCCCTGACAGCATCCTTTCTGCTCTTCTGATATGATGTTATTATTCTGCAGGTGAGTGTTGATCTTTGTTGTTATTATTGCCGTTAGTAATTTATAGGTTCTTGATAAACATGTTATAGGGCGGTACTTAGATGGGTTTGCAGTGTCCATGCCTTTGGGTTTAAGGTAGGTAACTCCCTGAGTTAAAAAAGAGGGGATGGCTTCCGTTCCTTGTACAAAATTTTGAAATATATTCGTTAGTGGTTTGTGAATGCTTGTGAATGATTTTAGCCAGTAGTTCTGTATTTTGTCGTCTCCAGGTGCTTTCCAGTTGTGTGTCTTGGATATGGCAGGTGATCGTTACATTTGGCATGGCTGTTGTATTTATCTGCTTGTTTTCTTCTTCTGTTATCCATTGAGCTTCTCTGTTGTGTTCTACTGCTTGTGACCAGATATTTTCCCAGAAGTTTTTTACTTCTGTAATTGATGGTGGATTGTTTATTTGCTGTTCCGTTCTTTCGAGAGATCTGTAGAACCTTTTTTCATTTGTGTTAAAAAGTTTGTTTTCTTGTTTTCTTTGGTGGCTCTTCTTGTATCATTTTAGTCTTTTTGCTTGTGCCTGTAGTTGTTGTTTTTTAGTATCTAATATTTCTACTACTGATTCTTCTGAGCTGATATCTGGTATATATTATTATTATTATTATTATTACTTTATATGTAAATTTATATGGGAAATGTCATCAATTATCATTTCCCAGCCAACTGGACGTCGTTTTTATTTCGATCATACAGTAGTATCTCCTAAAGCAGTTGTCAAAAGCAAAACAATATACAGAGAAGTAGCCAATCAAATGTTTCCCTACATAAATATTTTAAGAAATAGATGCTATTGTTAGAAGTATAGCAAAAAATGATTTTTTTTAACATCTAAACTACTCAACCTTATACATATGAAATACTGCAATATCCATATAACATAAGATATACAGGATAACGCACCTCATTCGCCTCGGTTGATTATACGAAAACGAAAGGATGTAGAAACAAAATATTTTATGGGTATATGTGGGGAGGTAATGTGCACATTTTAAAATTATTTTGAAATATACAGGATGTGTCAGAACTAAGATCCATACCAAAGTTATATTTTTTTCTTATGGAACACCCGGTATTTTATTTCATTTTGGATTCTAGGACATAAAATAAGGCATTTATTATAAGGGTTGGTAAATATGTCTAAAAGCTTTGGTTTTTGAGATATTTAAAGATATTTAGATATGCATGCTATAATAAAAAAGCTTGTTAACACCCTGTACATTACTTTTCTCAGAATTAATTCTTGTGCTGACATTTAAGCCAGAGAAATAAACTTTTTTTTTAATTTGATTGCTTCCTTAAATGTTTACAGGAGTATCATAAACTGCTGGTCTATTTTAAATATTTATTTTACATAAAAAGTTCGTTATTTCAAATCCAACACTCTGTTTTTTTTAAATAAGTCGAAACAATTTAAATACTCTGTCAAACTATATTAGGGTTTGCTATACCTATCTGGCTCAGATTTTGAATAAAAAGCAATTTTTCAATAATTTGTTTATTGACTTTATTTAAATTTATAACAGTTTACTTTTATTTAATTTGCCTACAATAGTTTAATAAGCAAGTATTTGTTATTTTATAAAGAAAAATGAAGCAGTATCTGCTGGCGGAAGGAATGGATATGTTACTAGTGATTTTATTTTGTGAAGAAAATTGCTTGTTGACCTGAAGGGTTTATCCTCAAAGATATCAAAATAGGAATTGTCTTGATAAGCGCTCCTTTGAAAAACTACTTTTCCTATTTCGCAGAGCTGGTAGTGAAGTTCATAAAAAACATATTAGGCAGAAACCTGTGTTGGAAGTGAAAAAAAATGAATTTACCTTAATTGGCTCTTTTATAGAAAATTCAATTATCTGCTATAAATCATAATATAAATAAAGGAACTACTTCTTCGCTTTTCTTGATAAAATAATAAATACTTATTTATTAAACTACTGTAGATCTTATAAATAAAAGCTGCTATGAACTTAAATAAAGTCCATAAACTAATTTCGATTTTGAAAATAGGTACCGTATGATCGAATAAAAACGGCGTCAGCGATGGCTATGAAATGAAGATCACTGTAATTTTATATGTAAAATTATATGGGAAATGTCATGTCATCGATTGTCATTTCCAAGCCAACTAGACGCCATTTTTTTTTGATCATACGGTATTAACTGTCGCTAGAAAATTGCCATGGCGACACCAGCCATCTTGATTGCCATTTTATTGAAAAATCGCCTTTTATTCAGTATCTGAGCCAGATAGGTATGGGAAACCCTAATATAGTTTAAAAGAGCATTTAAATCTGCTTTGATTATTTTAAAAAATACAGAGTCTTACATTTGAAATAACGAACTTTTTATGTAAAATAGATATTTAAAATAGACCAGTGGTTTTTGATACCTCGGTATAAATTTAAGAAAGCAATCATATTTTTTACAAAGTTTATTTCTCTGGCCTAAAAGTCAGCACAAGAATTAATTCTGAAAAGTAATGTACAGGGTGTTAACAACCTTTTTTATTATAGCATGCATATTTTATATTTAAATAACTTTAAACACATATCTCAAAAACCAAACCTTTTAGACATATTAAATCCTTATAATAAATGCCTTATTTTATGTCCTAGAATCCAAAAATGAAATAAAATACCGGGTGTTCCATAAGAAAACATATAATTTTGGTATGGATATTAGTTCCGACACACCCTGTCCATTTCAAAATAATTTTAAATCATGCACATTGCCTTCCCACATATACCCATAAAATATTTTCTTTCCGATTTTGTATAATCAATGAGGTGCGCCACCCTGTATATTAATACTGCAATATTGCTAATAAAATATACACACATAATTACCTTCTAGGCAGTAACAGATATTTTACTGGTGGTATTACACGGCCCTCTTGTTCTTTGGGTAAATTCACTAAAGGCAAGTCAACCATACCCAAAAAATCATCTCTCGTCAGCCTATTTTCATCAAACACTTGAAATATTAGCTTATGTTCAGTTGGTTTAACCTGAATTTAGTAATTTTATCAATAAATAACTAGGAAAATTTCATAAATCGAGATTTCCTTACCCTAAATATGAATTCTTCATTCCATTCAGGATTCAATGTCTAAAAAATAAAGTCTTGTTAATTTCAATCAAAATGAATACAAATTAAGCAAAGGTACACCTTTTTTTTGGTCCGAGTTAGTACTGAATCAATCACTTCGTCTCCATTAATTGGTAATAAATCAATTCGAACATAAGGATCACTAAAATCCATAAAATAAATGTCATACTTTGAAAGAATTAATTAGTTTTAAATTGTTGTACCTAGCACCAAATATGTCCTTTTTCATCAGACTTCTGCCTTTGATTACCTTAATATGAAGTTTACTGGTTTGTTCTTCACTCTGGAATTAAAGAAATATATTTATTGTGTTTAGTATATTTTATTTGTAAATTATATTTCCTGAAAATGATTTCAATTTTCTAGCACTACTTCTCTAGGTACATACTTATACATTACACTATTGACAAAATCATTAATTTAGATACGTTAATTAAGAATGAACCTGATTCAACTCACTCAGGAATGCAATGACACTAAAAACATTTAAATTGTTTATTACTTACAAATCCATCGTCGCCTACTTGGGGTATATATCCGAAAACATGATCAGTAGCCATTAAAAATTATTTGCACGCTAATTTACTTTAATCGGGCATGAAAAAAATATATACAAAACAAAACTCTTATTTGGATTTTTCAGAACAACACAAACTTAACTTGCCCTATCTTTTTAAACGTCACATTAGACTGTGCCTAACGTCATTTCAAAGTAAAGGGTTAAAAGAATCATATGACCTACTGTTGTTCACAACACAGTGGTGTAGTCTTTTCGTATTTTAGTTAATGAATATTTAATATTAATGATAGAAAAGCAAAAAAATGGATACGCTTCTAGGGAAAAACAACCCAAAAGACTAAAATAATTCAACGATTAATAAAGGCATTATTGTTTCATTACTTTTAATTTTATTTTCTCAAGGTTTAGCGAATTTTTGCCAGTCAGGCTTGTTCATAACAAAAAAAGTTTCAAATAGCTTGCATAAAAAAGTAGAGGAAATCGATGACGCGTTAAACTACTGAATGAAATGTTATTTAATATCACAAAAAATAATTTACATAAATAACTAAAATTATTACAAAAGAAAAATGTAGGAATTGATTTTTTTTCAATAATTTCATTTATTTGTTGTATGTCATTATTGCTAAATATCAGATAATAATTATGACTAATTGCCACCCATACATCTACTGTATGATCGAAAAAAAAAACGGAGTCCAGTTGACTGGGAAATGACAATCAATGATATTTCTCTATAAATTTACATATAAAATGACAGCGATCTTCATTTCATAGCCATCGCTGCCGCCGTTTTTTTTTAGATCGTACGGTATATATATATATATATATATATATATATATATATATATATATATATATATATATATATATATATATATATATATATATATATATATATATATATATATATATATATATATATATATATATATATATATATATATATATATATATTTCTATTATCTCAGATTGTTTTTATGTAAAATTACATTTCTAAAAAAATACTAATTATATATTAAATATTAATAATACCTATATAATAACTATAAAATATATAATTATGGATTATTATTATTATTATTATATATATTTAAAGACTTTACATATAAGTAGTGGTAAAAAAATAATAAAACAAACTATATTGTGTTATGAAACAATAACTTCACTTTTCACTTTATAAAATTGTTCATTTATGATTGTTCATTTGTCAAGTTTTTAGAAATGTCGAATCATTCTATCTTTCTGAAATTTTGCTGTAAAATGTTCATTGTTTAAACAGTTTTTACGGCACATGTTCATCTGATAATATGCACAATCAAAGAGAAAAAATTGTTTTTTTCAATACAAATATTATATATTAGAAATTATATATATTATTATAAATGGATACAGCATTATATACAACTTTGATATAAGTTTATTATAGTAGAAATCCTTCTACTGTGGTATTGTTTCCGATGGGTTAAAGAAAAAACTAGATACTATATGTACCAATAAAGAGAGAAAACCATGGAAAATTCAAGTATATGATAAGAAATTAATTATATAGTGCGGTAAGTATAAAAATATAAACAGTTATATATTGGAGCTAATCGGGTAATATCTTGCTCATACTCAAATATAAAGAAATAAATAAAGAAAACCTACCACAGTAGGCATGCAACTAGTTCTTCTCCTAGCATCCTGTTGGACCTGTATAATCGATGGTGAGCGTCTTCTGCGATGGTTTTGATTGCCCCAGCTACTACTTCTAGGTCTGTAGATATGTTCTATCCGAAAACTATCTTCTCTTGAAGTACTCCCATTATTTGGAGGCACATTTCGTGATTGCACCACTGGCATATTCAATTAATTTTCTACCACCACGCGTAAATGTAACTCTATACCATATCAAACGCAACTTTAACGTTAATTATTATCACTAACTGTGTAAAACAAGCTAATAAAGAAACAAACTAACTTTTTACATTTCTGTGGGTTTAAAAACTATAATTTCAGCGTAACCTCGATTATGCTGTTAGAAAAATAAGAAATCTTAAATAAATTGACTACGTAGATATACTGGCACAATAATAAAGGTTATTCTACGAGTTCTTATCTCTCTTAAACAAAATTCACTGTCTATAAAACAGAAAATTAAATTAATACATGTAAATACGAGATAAGGATAATTAATTATTGTTGCGCGTTCGGGAAAAAGAGGATTATAAAAATATAACTACCAGGTTGATGTTATTAAATTCCACGAACAATTATTAAACATTCTTATTTTGTGTCGTACTGTTTTTCTTATACTTTTAGACCAAGAAATTCAATATCTTGATTGTCATCCTGTGCGATTTAGCCATAAATAATTTATTTATTGTTACCCGTTTGGAAAAGACCTTGAATTTTTAAATATAGAGATATATTTATTTACAGTTCTAGCCTCTGTTGTATTTGTATGATTTTGTCATTAAACGTGCTAGTTAAAACTTTTATAAGTCTTACCAGGTACGTTTAAAACGTACGACAGTAGTCGATCCGTTCTGTAGCTACGGGGCATCGGTAAGGGGGAAACGAAATTCTCTGCTAGGGAGCAATTCATGGGCGTGCTATAAATATTTTCAAAAAATTGAAAAATCAGTTTTATTTTTTCAAAGTTTTTCAATGTAAATGAGACATAATCCAAAATTAAAAAATTAACAAAAAAATTATTTTACCGATAACGATTTCACTGTTCTCTAAGCTCGGTCTACCACCGTTTTAATCGATCTTTCGAGTAAAAAGCTAGACGATGCGCCCCGTAAAAAAAAATCGACAAATTTGCAAGTATATAGCTAATGGAATGAGTGGACGGAGTGTTTCGCGGTTCGCGGTGACGTACTCGTCAATCAACGTAGACTCTCTGCTGCGTGTATACTAAGGGTCGGTATTTCTGGTCTTGTGTGCCGATTTTCGTGTGTGCGAAGAGTACGGTCAATACGCTTAGTAAAATATAAGATGTACTGAATAAAGACAGAATAAGGCAAGTATTTTTCCAAGCGCATAGAATCTAGCTTTTAATTAAGTGATTATGTAATAAATACTTCGTATTTTGGCTCTCTCCGACTTACTAGATTGCCATAGCGATTCACTCATATACATGTAAACGTCAACCCAAAGTTTCTCTTGCCAGCAGGGTGTAGGTAGCGATCTATAAAATATATATTGCTGTTTATTTAAATGTTATTTTAAGTCATTAAAACGATTTAAATCAAAAAAAGACTTAAGTTTTCTGTGAGCTTCCAGCTCTGACGGCTTGCTAAGTTATATTTTGTTTGTTTCGAAAACAAGTACCTACTACTTTACATGGATTTTATAATTCTTATTATACTATATAGGCAAAGGATATAAGAAAACTTAGGTATCATTATTTTATTATATATTTTTATTTTTATATTATATATCATGTATTTATTTTTTATATTATATATTTTTATTTTTTCATCTCAATATAGTAATCTTGAAATTAACTTATAACAGATAATGGTATACCCAAATAATATTATAACCAATGATATTCATATGCCTCTTTGTAGTCGTAGCGGTAGAACCCAAATACACGAAAAACATTTCAAATAATGATAGAAGCAAACCACTTGGTATAGGTGTATATACACATAAACAATCGATTTGAGCCGCAGCACCTTATTGCAAGTGGAGGCACATTCAAAATGGCGGCCTTTTTTAGAATTACTGTTTTTTTTGTTTTTTTTTTAAGTTTTTTAATCGATTAAATTAATAAGTGTATTTTGAATTCAAATGCTAATAATAATAGGATTAATACTAATAGGATTAAGTATATAAAATTCAAAATGGCGGAATTTAGTTCTGTAATAATTAGTAGTTGCGAGCTAATTTTCTATCATCCACCCGCGAAATATAAGTTTTGGTTGAAATCAAAAATTTATTATAAGCAGCGGCGCACCAAGAAAGTAATTGTGAGAAGACCTTCTTCCGTCCCCCCTTCCCCGCTTGCCCCCCCCCTAAGGAAAATCTGAAGAAAAAAAATTAAATTTCCATATAAAATATAAACCTTTTACATTAAGTATTGTTACGAATTTACTCTATCCGTGGGTCCCAATAATTCAAAACACTCAGTACAACAACGACTTGACTTTATTAAATCCACTTATTAAAAATCCACAATTATTTTACAATATTTCAATTATTATTCAGAACTTTATTGTACAACGTAAAAACTTAAACTAACTACTGTGTGCCACTGTGTGCTAACTTTGATGTAAACTGCTAGACTGTGCTAGACATAAACTGCGAGACTCCATAAAGGGTAGTATAATCTGGTATAATACCAAACCATCGAAAAAAACGGCATCAGAGGTGGCTTGGAAATGAAGATTGCAGTTATTTTGTATGTAAAATTACAGTACGTCTGTCCGTTCTATAGCTACAGGGTATCCGTGAGAGGGGAAACGATATTCTCTCGATGTTTTTCGTAAAAAATTAGACGACGCGTCTCATCAATAAAAATTCGACAAATTTGCAAGTAGCCAATAAAATGAGTGGGCGGAGCGATTTGCGGTGACGTACTCGTCAAGTCGACGAATAAAATATATATGTTGTTTATTTAAATGTTTTTTGTCCGCATTCCTTTCATAGACACAGACCCAGCAGATGTACTGTATATTGGGAATGTCATCGATCGTAATTTTCCTTAGATTAACAATTAATTTTCAAGCCAATTGAACGCCGTTTTTTTTTTCGATGGTACAGTATAAATTGAAAGGTCGATCTTAACTCATACAAATAAACTTCTAAATTTTGACGCAAAATTCATTGACATAATATGTAGGTATATTTTAGAGCTGTTAATAAAAATATCCAATGAATAACGTCAAAATGTGGCTAAATAAAACTAAATCGGGAACGTTTTTACTATAAACTAAGGAAGAAGAAAGTATTGTCAAATAACAGTCCTCATATAATGTCCTAAAAATATTCTATAATGCTCCCAACATCATCCTTGTCTTATCCTATAAATATCCCAAATAATCGTAAAAGGCTTGCCTAGGGATGTCTTGAAGATGACTTTTTTTGTCCCATCTAGATATCCCATAAATATCCTCCTCTGGTTTTTGGATATCTCTAAGATATTTACTATATCCTTGGTGGATATCCTCAAGATATATATAGGATTGTGTTGTGTTATATGGGATGGAATTCGCCGCCAAGTAGCAGGCCTTACTAGACTTCCACCAAACTGGCCAGATTTCTTAAAAAACCCATTAAAATAAATTGATCTCTTCGTTTTTTTAGCAAAATCTTTTATTGCAGTAGAAAGCAAAATAGTATATGTATCAAATATAGGTGACATAATTTACTCATCAGCAAAGGCAAACTCATCCCTTAATGGTGTAAAATGTACTACTAAAGAAGAAGCAGATGGCAGAATAATATTACATTTAAAGGATGCGGTGCAGCATGGGTCTCAGAACGTGGTAAGTGCGAACAGTTGATACTGATGTATTAGTACTATGTATAGCTTTTTTACGCACAATTTAAATCTCTTGGTCTCCAAAATTTATGGGTTCTTTTTGGTACAAGTGGAAAGAGACGATATTTACGAGCACACCTTATGGCAGGTAAGCCTCTCACACACAAATAACACACTTGGCCTAAAAAATCATATTTTAGATGCTCTTGGCGACCAGGCTAGCGTTCGTCCTGGATTTCATGCTTTTACAAGATGTGACACGGTGTCTTTCTTTTCTTACAAAGGAAAAAAGTCTGCCTGGAAAATATGGAATTCGCAGAGCGATAAGGCAACCAACGCTTTTCAAGCGATTTCAAGCCCATCACTGTCTTCCATTCCGGACAATGTCGTCAAAGTTCATGCTAGCTTGACTGTTCAGATGTACAATCCACTTAGCACTGCAATCAACACTGACACCACAAAAAAATAATTATTTTGTTCTCAAAACAAGCCAATTCATTTGATACCTCCGACTTCTGCTGCACTGTATCAACATACCCTAAGAGCTGCTTACCAAGCTGGTCAAGTCTGGGGTCTTCTTACGATATGGATGACGTAACGCCATCACCTAAGGGATGGGGCTGGGTTGAAAAGAATTCAAAGTGGACTCCCCTATGGTCTGTTCTTCCAAATGTATGGCAGACATGCCAAATGCTCCTGTAAAACTGGATGTAGCAGTAGTCGGTGTAAATGCAAAAGAAGTGGTCTTCCATGTACACTGCAATGCAGTTCCTGCAAAGACATGTGCACCAACAGTGTAATTGAAAAGTTGGTATTTTTAAATATTCTTATAATTTTCCGAGCTAGACTAACAAAAAGTTTCTGACTAGACTTATTCTTTTTAATTTTTTATTTTAGTTTAGAAGATTCCGAAGCAGTGGCGGATACAGAGGGGGGCCCATGGGGCCCGGGCCCTCCTAAAATGTATAAGTTTGGTTAAAAATTAGGCTTTTGGGTTTAAAATGGCTCCCTAAATAGCATATTCTACATTACTTTTTATTTGGGCCCCCCCTAAAATAAATTCCTGTATCCGCCCTTGTTCCGAAGAGTAAGGAATGGTTCCGGCGCCATTTTGTAAAAAATCACGCCATTTTTTTTTTTAATATATATACTTTTAATAAATTATAAAAGTTAAAATTGCTATTCTATTAAACCAAACCAAACCAAACACTTCGGCCACGTATTATTGGCTATGAGAATCTATGAAAATTTTTTATCCTAAGTCGATAATCTTTAGTCTAAGTTTTAAAAATTGCGCCATAATTCCTCAACGTCCACTTCGACCCTAATATTTCAGATGGGTCGTTGTGAGCTAGGCTTGAGCGAAAATAATGACGTCATTAGTGACGTTTACGCCGCGACCACAACGTCCGCGATCGTCATGTGGAACGACCGAAGGCATATTTTGAGCATTATGAGCGCTTAGTGGAACGCACTCTATGAGTACGTTCCACTAAGCACTCATAACGTACACGCTCAAGATCGCGATTTTTCCCGTTCCACTTGCTTGCGAGCGTTACAATCATAAACTCAAGTGGAATGGGTTATGGGGCGTTTTAAGCGTCAATCCTGTCAATGTATGTAAATAAATAGTAAATAATAGTCAAAATCACAGAAGAGAATTCAAAAAATCTGTCTAAAAAAAAGAAATCAAAATGTCTTTGGCGACAGTTGGATATTTGGTGCATCGGAATGTGTCTGAAACTTCTTCATCTAGTTCAGACGAATTAATAGTGGAATGCAATTTTACAAAATAGCGACGTAAAAAGCGAACACTTAGGCCACGTATTATTGGCTATGAGAATCTATGAAAATTTTTATCCTAAGTCGATAATCTTTTGTCTAAATTTTAAAAATTCCAAAATTCCTCAACGTCCACTTCGATCCTAATATTCAGATGGGTCGTTGTGAGCTCGGTGTGAGCGAAAATAATGACGTCATTAGTGACGTTTACGCCGCGACCACAACGTCCGCGATCGTCATGTGGAACGACCGAAGGCATATTTTGAGCATTATGAGCGCTTAGTGGAACGCACTCTATGAGTACGTTCCACTAAGCACTCATAACGTTCACGCTCAAGATCGCGATTTTTCCGGTTCCACTTGCTTGCGAGCGTTACAATCATAAACTCAAGTGGAATGGGTTATGGGGAGTTTTAAGCGTCAATCCTGTCAATGTATGTAAATAAGATGTAAATAGTCAATAATAGTCAAAATCACAGAAGAAAATTTAAAAAATCTGTCTCAAAAAAAAGAAATCAAAATGTCTTTGGCGACAGTTGGATATTTGGTGCATCGGAATGTGTCTGAAACTTTTTCATCTAGTTCAGACGAATAGTGGAATGCAATTTTACAAAATCGCGATCGTAAAAAGCGAAAACTCAGGCCACGTATTATTGGCTATGAGAATCTATGACAATTTTTATCTTAACTCTTTTGTCTAAGTTTTAAAAATTGCGCCAAAATTCCTCAAAGTCCACTTCGATCCTAATATTCAGATGGGTCGTTGTGAGCTCGGCGTGAGCGAAAATAATGACGTCATTAGTGACGTTTTCGCCGCGACCACAACGTCCGCGATCGTCATGTGGAACGACTGAAGGCAGATTTTGAGCATTATGAGCGCTTAGTGGAACGCACTCTATATGTAAGTAAATTTTCTGCCAAGCGGTTTTATTCTATCACGATTTGAAACGTTTTTTGGTCTACCGCTACGACTATTGTTGATTTTGTTTGATTTCTGATTTCTTTGAGAATAATATACCTATAAGATACCTATAAAATTTTCATGGTATTATACCGGGTATTTACAATGCGGTTGTCGGGAACTTCTTTTATAAAATTAGGTGTTTATCTAATTGTACAGGTATATCCCAATATGCATTAATATTAGATTATATTCTTTACAGAAGAAAAAATTGTACGCCGCTGTAAGTTGAACTTGTCGCCATCCAAAGTCGCCACCGGAAACATAGAAAATAACCTAACAGACCGGAACTAAGGCAGTGATGCCACTTCTACCGATTTTTCGGTAGATCTACCGATTTGGCAATCTATCTACCGATCTACCGAAAAGGCTATATTTTCTACCGATTTTCATTCTTCGGAATATTTAGTGTCATAGATATTAAAAAAGAATGTTGTAATAAAATTTGTACGAAATATCTAATGAGTTATATTTTCTTGAATCACAAATACGCAAATTACAGTACACCTATTATCAGGGAAAGTTTCTTTGTTTTGTCAAGGGCAATCTCTTTACTTTTCACACTTATTTTTGTATAGATGTAGCTGACAACCCTAATTATTCCTTTATCGGGGGAAATCCCGATTTTTGAAAACTATAAAGAAGACTAAGTTTCAATTATTCTTTGACATTATGAAATATATTTTAAGTACATTTTATTCTTGGTTTGAGGTCAGGTGTCAGGTGTAAATAAATATTTTAGAGATATCCATTAATTATTATTTATTGACAAAAGAAAAAAAATATATTTCATGACGTTTAGACCAATAACTTGGTCTTTTTCATATTGAGTAATAATCTTCTACTTGTTCCATCCTGAACGTAGATTTGTTAATTTTTGTTAAAACTTATCCTAATTTTTAAAAATGGTCGAAACGTCATGAAATAGTTCTTTTTTCTTTTATCAATAAATAATAATTAATGGATTAAATCTCTAAAATATTTATTTACACCTGACCTCAAACCAAGAATAAAATTTACTTAAAAGCAGACTAAGTAGAGCTTGTGCTTTTTTAGGGATAAAGGGATCAAAAAGTCTCAAATTTCTAAAAATGATTGAATTGTATGATGAAATGTATGTTGATGAAAATTGTATAAGAAGTAAACTTAGTAAACTATCTATGTATCTAGTGAATTCGACTGTTGCTAAATGAGTATAAAGTGCCTCGGTAAAAATTAAATTCCCAAAAGTATTAAAAGTATTTTTGAATAACTTTAGGCAGTATATACTTGGAGAGGCTTTGCAAGAGCATCCATTAAAAAAATTCTCGTTTTTTGGGACTAAAACGATATTTATTAATTTATTTAAGAGTTTCCTCCTGTGTATTCATGTTTAATATACAATTTTGTGTCTGTATTTTTCAAGCATATTTTTATACCCCAAAAACGACTTACTTTGAGCACTTCTTAATAAAACTACGTGTTAAATATCCAATCTACCGATTTCTACCGAATTTTGACCAAGATTTCTACCGATAATAAAATTTTGGCCGCGGCAACACTGAACTAAGGTGCATTTGAACTAAACTCTCTGTAAACTACTTTCATTTCCTTAATAATGTTGGGTTATGTTTTCATACGGTCATTTGTCGTTTTTCGTTGATTTTATAATTTTTAAATCGAATAAAGGTATTTTTGATTTATTATCTCAATGAAATAAAAATGGAAGAAAACAATGAGGACGTTTTAAAAACTAACGTATTTCAGAAAGTCAAGCAAATAAATCATTTAGCGAACGAAGTAACCATCGGTCCAAATATACCCAAAAAAGATACTGTGGGTGAACCTCAGATATCCATTAACAGTAATACAACAAAAACAATGGTAAATTCCGATGTAAATAACGTAAATAAGCTGCCTTCGCGAGAATTTTGGAAAATTATGGACCTTCAAAGACAAGATAAGTTACTGAGAGACTTGAATAGAAGGTTGCAAGTTTTCAAACAATTTGATAAATCTCAACTCGAACAAAGCCAGGAAAAGTGGTTGAAAACAAAACAGAATATTTTGCAAGATGTTGAAAAAAATGAGGCAAACGTGTTGCAAGCAAATGAGCAGTTTGAAGCGACTCAGTCTGCACAGGATGCTTTGTTCAAGCAGCAAACCCAAAGTGCCATATCAAGAATAAAAGCCAGACAGGAACAATTAAGAGAAAAAGAGAGATTGAAAAAGAAGGTTCTGGAAAACGTAAATCAAATTAGGGCCAACCAAGCAAAATTTAATTCAGAATGGCTAGAAATTTCAAAGCTATTAAAGGGTGGCCCTTGTATTACAAACGTCTTGGTAAAATCTTCCAAAAAAATTGATGCAGATCTATTTCAAACTTTGCCTAATGAAATGGCAAGTATTATAGAAAAATGTAAGATAAAAAATGGTAGTGCTATAGATATCTCAGATGTACAAAAGTCTGATGAAGTAAAATCTAAAGTTATTAAGTTCAGAGAACTCTTACAAGAAGCATATGCAGAATATGATAATAACATTCAAGCAACAAAAGCAAATGTACCATCAAACATAAGTGGTATAGAGGTTTCAAAAAACAGTGTCCAAACTATAAATGAACCTGAATTGAATCTCAAAATTGTTGAATGTAGTGAATCTCAAACCTCTGATTTAGAAAAACTCTCAAAATGTATAGATATGGGTGACCTTCAAATATATGCAGAAATAATGGATTTCCATGACATATTTAGGCAAAGTTTTGCACAGTTGGAATATGATAGTACATTAAAAACTTTTAAATTTGATTTGAAGAAAGCTATTAATATTCCTGTAAACTCTCTATCTGGTGTGACATCTGACCATATCATGGACAAATATCAAAAACTTCATAGGTATGATTGTAGAGAAAACAAGCACATTCAGGGACGGTCAGCTGCTGAGTAAGCAACTTCCCTAAATGGTCCCTTTTTACATGCAAAAAAGTCAGCCGCTGAGCAAAAGTCTCATCGGTCAGTCAGCCACTGTGTTCCCTGAATGCGCAAAATTATTTACATATCTTACATTTTACTTTTACAGGTTATTAAGTGGGCAAACAGTTCTGATAGCTGATAAACAAATAAATGCTTCTAAACATCCACAAGGAATTGCATTTTGCACTGATTTGCTTGCTAAAAAATTTGTAATACAAGGAGATCTAATGGTCTCCAGCAATCCAGAGTCAGCATTTTGTTATGCTTCTGTTATCTTATCATTGTGGAATGATTTTCCCAATTTCGGAAAAGTGCTATTAGCATATTTTTACAAATTTTGCCCATACTTGGTGCCCTATTACATTCCAAAAGAAATGGGCGAAAGTGATGAGGACTACTATTTGAAATTGGGATACCAGTATAATGATGGTGAAGTAGAGAAACAAGACAAGTTTTTAAAAAGGATGACAGGTGTGTTTATAATTACTCGATTATATTTATCATACATAAGTACTTTGAAAAATTACACATATACTAGATGATATTTATGATAATACAGTGGAGTTGAACCTTCAGTGTTGTAACAACAAAATAAAATACTAGTTCACTGCAACACACCAGGAAACTTTAGTTTTAACATTGATTCGCATTTTTCTAACCATGGTAGCATTTGAGCAAATGGTTAAAACTACTGTAAATAATCTATTGATAATAAACATGGTTAGCAAAACGTGTATCCAATGTTCTGTTTTTAATGTATTGTGGTGAAGATATAATTTAAGCATACTAGCACAGGCTAGCAATTTCTAAAAAAAAATTTCACATGTCCAACATTTTAAACACATTGTATATATTTTACACCCTTAGTGGTGGATTTCATTACTTATTCATGTGCAACATACTCAATAAAGATCTTTTTTAGGCATATTAAAATTGTACTTTGCAATATTAATAAGCAAGCCTAAAAGAGGGCAGAATATTTCACCACACAATTTAAAAAATGGCTGGAGATGGCTTGCCTCCTTTTTGAAATTAGAACCTCAAATTGACATTACTGCTACAGCATTACATGTTTTTCTGGAAACAGCTGGATTTGAAATGGAGAATAGATATGGAACAGTCTTTCATAAAGTACTGAAGTGTATTTTGCAGGTAACTATTTTAAATGAACATGTTTGTTTTTTGTTCACCAGTATATTTTTAGATATTTATGCCTAAGTGTCAACAAGTTCAGTGTACGGGGGGAGCAGTCACAAGACTTGAATTACTCTTAACTGAATATCTTAAAACCAAAAAGTTCCAGAAACCTCATGGCTTTATGGATTATGCTATGTGGTAATATGTTTTATTTCTGTGTTAGGCTGTAAATATATACAATTTTTTTTTATTTTACAATTTACAAAAAGTCTCACAATATTTTAAACTGTCCAATTGATTTTGATGCTGTATTGTTCAGACTTTCTATCTTATTATTTCTCCAATAAATTAAATTGACTCTTTTACACTTGTAATTACTAATCTCTTTCCAGGAATGTTTTTTGCTTCTAATTCTAATCTAGTGACATTCCACTGAGAGTTATCAGATTCCCTTTCTGCCCATAAATACAAAATGCCTTTTTGTTTGGATCCTTTCAATGAAATTTCATATTGAGCCTTATTATTCTCACAGAAATTTTTTTCCTTGTCATCTATATTTATTGATCCAACTTTTATTGGTTCACCTAATAAGTTTACTGCTGCAGGGTGAGCACGAACTAACTTGAAACCATCCTTACAGAAAGAAGTATCTCTAATATTTTGTTGTATTTTATTTCGAGCTAAAAAACCCATCGTGCAGGTTGCTATTCCACCGATTGCTGCAATTTTTACTAATGTTCGATTACTAATAGTCATCCTTGTATTCCAATTATTTTAGTTTTGATCACAGATAACAGAACTAAGGTCTAAGGTTTTGATTTTGGAAGTTCCCAAAAATACTTTGAATTTTCGAAAAAAATTTAGGTCATGTTATAAAAAAAAAATCTTCTTAAAAGTTTCATATCTCGGTCCTGCTCGGTACCTCTGTCGGTCTCGGTATTCTCGATTTTTAACGTCTCTGTTTTGCTGCTAAGGTTGTTTCTTGGAGCCTACTTTATTTATATATACGCGGACTCCGAACCGCGGTTCTCAGTTCTCAGCCATATTGTCAATGACACAGTAAATGCAGTAAATGGCCCAATGCCGTCTCTAATAGAACAGCCTTGGGGCGAGATATATGACGTCACGCTAGTTAGATACTACGGATTAATAAATATGTTGTAGAATACATGGAAAACATAATTATTCCTCAGATTTTTGGTTTGTATTTTAAAAATTATATAGTTCACATGAAATATACATAATATACAGTTAATAACTACAACATATATCCCTATTTATAGTAATAAATACTTTGGCAAATAAACTATGAACCCTACAAATGCAGCAAATGTTTTACAATATACAAATAATGTATTACATAAGATATTGGGTAAAATGTAAATATATTTTAAATTTTGGGGTTTGAAAATCGATCTAATTTAACAAAAAACATTCAATATCTACTAATAGTGATGTATTATTATTTGCATTCACAAAATTTATATGTATATTTTGCAAGTATCATTTATTAACCTCACCTCAAACCTTTGATATTTGAAATTACATACATAGGTTACATAAACTACACCCTCTACATAAACTACATTAACTACATGTAATGTAGTTTATGTAGTTTTTAAAAGTAACATGTAGTTTTCCGAACCCTGCCGGCCAGCCGCTGTGTGTGTTCCCTTGAAGCCCCGTTCTCAGAACTGCGTCGTGTCGACAGCGACACTGATTGACACTTCAAACGACCAATGGGAGCTGTACTAAATTTAAAATTGACAGCTGTTTGAATTTTGTACAAATCTCATTGGTCCTCTTGACGTGTCGCTGGCGACAGTCGCTGTTCTGAGAACGGGGCTTTAAGCCCCGTTCTCAGAACAACGTCGTGTCGCGGGCGACACAGTTTGACATTTCAAACAACCAATGGGAGCTGTACTAAATTTAAAATTGACAGCTGTTTGAATTTTGTACAAATCTGATTGGTTCTTTTGTCGTGTCGCTGGCGACAGTCGCAGTTCTGAGAACGGGGCTTTAAAGTCCCGTTCTCAGAACTGCGACTGTCGCCAGCGACACTTCAAAAGCACCAATGAGATTTGTACAAAATTCAAACAGCTGTCAATTTTAAATTTAGTACAGCTCCCATTGGTTGTTTGAAATGTCAAACTGTGTCGCCAGCAACACGACGTCGTTCTGAGAACGGGGCTTAACGCTGCCTCAAGGATATATAGAATAAGGATATTCGACTGGCCCAAAAAAAACGTGCCGTATTTTGTCGAGGAAGACGATTTCGTCACGACCAATGGGCGTCGAGTATTTGAAATTGAAACAATATAAATTGACGGTAACCTATGTTATTTGATTCATTTCACTGACAAATGTCATGAGATTGTTATTGTAAAACCAAACGTTTTTTGAATAAATAATTTATTTTAATGGTTTGGCCTTCTGTATTCTGGTATTTGTCTACTAATAAATAATATCTTATTTTGTATTTCGATGTATGGAAATCCGCAAGTTTTGTATCTGAAGCCGCAAAGAAATTTCGCTCTATAGTGAGAAAAATGTTATATCTTTTTAGACGCGTAGAATAACAAAATTTCTTATTTCAGATGTTCTAAATGTGAGTGCTTAATGTCAAAAATTAAAATATATACTTGAAATATTTCAAGTTATACCCTTTGCCCTTTGAAAGTAAACAAATATTGAAGAAAGTGTTGTGCCTTCACAGAATTTAAATTGGCATTAGGAATAGATTTCCTTGATTTAGTAATGATATTGCTCATAGAAATTGATAATATACTATTTTATATTCACTCGTTCAAGTGCTGATCTATTTTTAAATTGAATATTTATGTAAGTATTATGTATAACACAATATAAATAATTTAAGGACATAAGAAATTAAAATTTCAAGTGCCAATATTGATTATTTTTCCAGTTTTATTCAAATATATTGAAATTAATATGGAAACAAAAGTTCATAAATATTAGTTTGAAAAGCCATGTCAGAAGAGTAGGATTAAAGACAAAGTATTAAGGTAACATATATTTGCATAAAGTTTTAATAACACTGAATTTTATTTGTTTATGTTTATTAATTAAAATTTAGTTGCAATTTATTTCATATTCTAATATTTTTGAGAAAATTTTACTTAGATACATACCTGAATATTATGCTGCTTTTTATTTTAAAGTGTGCCGACTGTGCTGTTATTTTATACTAGTAATATTGTATACTGTAGGTATCGTTATTCATATATAGTTATATATATATATATCAGTAGTATAGATACTTACTTTCTTTCTATGCGTACTTATATCCTTTATAGTCTTTCTAAGTGCATATAATACTACTTTTTTAAGAGAAGGCAGTTTTTAATAATCTATTGTTAATTCCCCTAATTCTGTGTCCCCTGGTTCTGCTATACAACAATTATATATTTTTTTATCATTACTGATTTTAAAAGTTTCTTTTCAAAGAATTTGACCATATATTTTTTTTTCAGAGTAATTGGGCTGTTCCTGAACAATATTGAATATAAATATTCAAAAATATGATAAACTGCATATCCTACTAAGTAGATCAATACCAAAATTCCATTAGAGAAATAAGTTAAAATTATGTTTTACTTGTATAATTTTCTTGCTATTTGTCCACCATTATTTGTGACTTAGAAATTAAATAGTCAAAAAGAATTTAGTACCAGTTTTTATTTCCCAAAAAAAATAATTGTTAAATAATTACATATTGCTTAAGATACAGTATATTATATTGTGTTTATAGTTGATAATTCTAGTTCTTAGTTGTTTATAGTTGATAATTAACAATATTTCTGATGTTAGATATTATATTAGATAAAAAATTTAATTACCAACAGCTACCTACCTATGTAGCTGCAGATTATTATATTGTGTAGTAGGTACTGTATAATTCTTTAGTTCAAGAAACAAATATCAGTACAAGTATATAACCAAAAAAATGTTGATGCAAATTCTTTGTATAACATACGTACCCCTATGGTATTCAACTTTTCATTGTTCTTTTAATTAGATACACAATAAGCACATTAATTCGTTTATTAAACAACCAAAACTCTAACTACTTAAATTCACAATATAAATATCACAATAAATCTCATAACCTAACTTGCTGCTAGAATTTCTTTCTTGTTATTCTATGTTCCTGTATTGTTATTCTTCACATTATCAATTTCTATGAGCAATATCATTACTAAATCAAGGAAATCTATTCCTAATGCCAATTTAAATTCTGTGAAGGCACAACACTTTCTTCAATATTTGTTTACTTCCAAAAAATGTCAAAGCATATAACTTGAAATAATATTTCAAGTATATATTTAAATTTTTGACATGCACTCACATTTAGAACATCTGAAATAAGAAATTTTGTAATTCTACACGTCTAAAAAGATATAATAACATTTTTCTCACTATAGAGCGAAATTTCTTTGCGGCTTCAGATACAAAACTTGCGGATTTCCATACATCGAAATACAAAATAAGATATTATTTATTAGTAGACAAATACCAGATATAGAAGGCCAAACCAAACTCTAGGAAATAACTTTAAAATACATTATTTTTTCAAAAAACGTTTGGATCTATAAATTACAATTATAATCTCATCACATCTGTCAGTGAAATGAGTCAAAAAACATAGGTTACCGTCAATTTATATGTTTTCAATTTCAAATACTCGACGCTCATTGGTCGTGACGAAATCGTCTTCCTCGACAAAATACGGCATATTTTCCTACATAGCCCGCTATAGGGAGTTGAATATCCTTCTTCTATATATCCTTGCGCTGCCTGAACGCGCACAATTTAAAAAAAATGACATTTATGATATAACTAACCTCAAATAGTTTCAGTTTCAGCGCCTTTTCCTGTTTTGATTTGAAAGGGCTCAAATTTGCTGTTTATCTGTTTGCTTTTATTTGCTTGTCTGTCGTCTCAAAACCGAGGATTTCTCAAAATGAGTTTATTGTGGGTTGATAAATATCGACCAAAGGATTTTGCATCGTTGGACTACCATATCCAGCAAGCACAGGAACTGAAAAACTTGGTAGAGCGCAGCGATTTTCCTCATATGCTTATATATGGCCCTAGTGGTGCTGGTAAAAAGACTAGAATAATGTGTATTTTAAAAGAACTTTTTGGCCCGGGAGTGGAACGCTTGAAAATGGAAAATGTAACTGTTACAACCCCTTCCAATAAAAAAGTTGAAATTATGACTGTTAATAGTAACTATCATATTGAGATAAATCCTTCAGATGTGGGCATATACGATCGCGTCATTGTAATGGATTTGATCAAAAATATTGCTCAAGGACAGCACATTACTACCACAAACAATCCCAGAGATTTCAAAGTTGTTGTTCTCACAGAGGCAGATAATTTAACCAATGATGCCCAGCATGCCTTAAGAAGGACTATGGAGAAATATTCCAGTAATTGTCGGCTCATATTGTGTGCCACTTCATTATCACCAGTAATCCCAGCCATACAATCCCGTTGTTTATTGGTGAGAGTACCTGCACCTTGTATTAAAGAAATTGTCAATGTATTACAGAATACCTGCAAAAAAGAGGATGTAAATCTGCCTCTTCCCTTTGCTGAGAGCGTCGCAAAAGCATGTAATGGGAATTTGAGAAGAGCAATTTTAATGTGTGAAGCATGTAAAGTTGAAAATAACACTTTTCAGGACGTCAGCAACATTCCTCACCCCGATTGGGAAATTTTCATACGAAAAGTTGCCAAAAGTATAATGGACCAACACAGTATTTCTAACATAATGAAGATTAGAAATCAGCTATATGAATTACTCACAAATGGTATACCTGCAGAAATAATTTTCAGGAATATTGTGGAAGGTCTTGTTATAAGGTGTGACCCAGAAGTTGTTCCTTATTTGGTAAGGGAAGCAGCTATATATGAACACCGTATGACACAAGGGAATAAGCATATTATACATTTAGAAGCATTTGCTATTAAGGCTATGTGTTTGTTTCAAAAAGCATCTATTGAAAGACATATTCATTAATTGTACATTGTTTATCTTCAGTTATATTTTTGTAATAAAATTAGCAGAAACATTTGAAGCGCCTTTAAAATAAAAAGTATTCTTAAATGTTTGTTTATACCCTATACTTTGAAAATATATTGTCACTACATTCTAATATCACAATAAAATACGATAAAATATCAAGTTTTAAGACTATATAAAAGAATGAAATGTTTAAAATTGAAGCATTTCTTTTTACAATTATTTTCCTTTTATATCTACATATTAAGTAGATAATTACTATTAAATATTAACAAAACGATATATAGTATGATGAATAAACAAGGATATATGTATAATAGCATATATGATAACATAAGGATAATGTAATATGGTTCGAGTTAATCACTCCGCAGTTGCTGTAGACTGGGTATTGGTAGATTCTCTACCCAAAGAACTACCTGGAAACAAGGAATAAAATCACATAAAAATACTCACAAAAGACTGCAGTAATACACAATACTTATAAATATATATATTGTATGATCAAAAAGTTGGCTAGGATATGAGAATCAATGAAATTTAACATATAATTTTAAATACAAAATGACAGAAGTCTTCATTTCCAATCCATATCTTAAGCCATTTTTTCAATTGTGTGGTATTTAGACTTACTTGGAGAATCAGCATTTTCATTTATCAATCTTTGTCTTTCACGAAACATAGAAACCCTTATATTTTCTAGTTGGTGATACCGCAAAAGCTTTAACAGGGCACAGACAGATAAGCCTACCCATGTGGCAAATGAGCCCCATATCCCGAACTGAGCTGTGCCCAATTCAATATAAAAATTTTTGGTATTTATTTTGTCCTTGTGGTCTATATCTTGACCTGCTGCCATTTCACATCTATAATTTTTGTAAAAATATACATTAGTATTAGAATGAAAAAATCTATGTTAGTATTTTTGAAGAATGAAAAAATCTTTCAACTCACGATGGGAATCTTTCAGTCATATTTTGACACCATGCCATAAAACCAAATGTAATCATACAAGCAGCTATAATAGTAAACGCGCTCATGAATATTCCAGAAAGGACATCAATAAAAGCTGACAGAAAACTACTGTCTGTACCCTTGTATAAGAAAACAGATAATCTAAAAAAATAATTTTAATCCTTTATTTTCCATTAAGTGTTGATATCTCAGATTGGTCTGAGTTTGGTACTTTGATTACCTATAAATTTGAATGATTGCTACAAGACATAACATAACTCCTACAAAAATAGTATAATTACAATATCCCTGAGATGCCCAATTTACCGCTAACTGTCCATCAGTTTCTTGCCAAGTACCAGTTGAAAATAGTAAGCAATGACCCCTGAAAAATGTATTAATTTATATCATGTTTTATTTAAGATGTTAATCTCCCATGATATTTTCTAATAATAAATAATTCAAAAAAAGTACCAAAGTATTTTTTTTATAGAAAATGTCTAAATTTATTTAGCTTTTAATAATTACACTTATATATACTACCTATAATCCATTGGTACTTATACATTATAATGTACTTACTTAAAATCATCTTGTTGCAAACTCATAGGAACAACTATGCATAATGACAATATAAAAGCAATAATATAACCAGCAATTTGACTTAACAATAAGATATTTGTTAATGCCATTTTAGAAATGATTTCAATACATTTAACTTTTATCAACTTGTAAGCTATTTAAAGTTTAAAGTAAAGCTGAAGAAACCATAAATACCGAAGAAAACACCACAAAATACTATGACCAAGACTATGACCAAGACCTGATCAAAACTTTGACAAATTGACAAAAGAAAATAGAACCACAGAACATAAACTTAAAATAAAACGTACTTTGTCATTTGTCATATCTTGAATCCAAGCCATAGACAACTTTATCCAAGCCAGATCCAAGTTTTGATCATAGATAAAGAAGTAATTATCTTGGACTACGTCTTGGACCGGACGAACTCCTTGGGACGGACCAAGGACGGACTATCAACACCATCTAGAAACCCGTGTAGAAACTCTGTTGGGTATACGTTTTGTGTACGTGTTTTGTGGGTATACCAGTATACCCTCTGTTGTGCATAGTTGTTCCGTAGCAAGTAGCAACTCCAATCGAGGATATACTCTGTGATCTTTTCCGTTAGTATATTCTGTGGATCCGGTGGCTGACCTTGAAACCTATATTTGCTGCATTTGATCATCGATACTACGCAAGCGCACATCATCGATGTTGCCAAATTGCAGTTTATTTTCGAATTATTTGCAGTTGAAAATTTTTTTTCGAGTGTTAATCAATAATAATAGAAATTCTATAATTAATTTTATAATTTCAGATTCATCTTGATATCCAAAATTAAGGTAAGAAGGATAATGAAGATTGTGAAATGAAAGTATTATGAATATATAAAATTGTAATAATAAATAACATTTATTTATATATTTACATTAGAATTAAAAATTATCATGCACGGATTTTTTCTTAATGGTTTTAAACTTATTAGAATTATTTTATTTCTTTCAAGTTATTTAATTTCTAGTTATTTACAGGCAACAATAGTTTTGATTATATGTATTGATGTTTTGAAATACTACCATGACGAGTCTTATAGAACAATACACATCAATGGGAGATAGAAGTAACATCTTACTTATAATGTTACTAATATAATATACTTTGATTATAATGTTTGTATCATAATTTCTTAAAAATATCAAGTTAGTGGATTAATAGCAATTTTAGACATATATTTTATCGAAGAGTGTGTTGATAAGACTAAAATAAGCTTTGTGTTTTATCTTTTTCTCTTTAGAAGGGAGACGGTTTGTGTCGTAGAATACATTACAATATTTAATATCGTATACTTTGATATTCTTTTCTTAATTTACTGTAATTTCTTGTTTCCTATAATGCCAAATCTTGACAATATGGTGAAGGTTGAGTTTTGATCTTATTAGTTTTATACCTGTGTAACAGGATACATTAAAATACGCAACCAACCGTCCAATCGGATGAAAGAGGTACGTACCCTATCGTTGGGTATTGTGCAATCACGTGATGCTCATGTCGTATGACGGTTAAATCTTTGGTTAGAATTTTTGTTGTTGTTTTTACTTGTTTTTACAGTTTTACTCTTATTTTTCTATTTACATCAGATTTATATTTTTGTAATTGCCTATCAGACAATACGTATTTAGAAAAATAATAAGAATTAGGATCGTGTTTTTTTTTAAATCCTGGATATTAATTGGAACCCTTGATAACATTACTGCTTTTGATATAAAAAAGTGCACATTTTGATTATTTACTTGGGCTAGGATATTAAAATATCGGTTGGATTGTACCGACATAAATAGATGTAGGTATGATTATTTATATATATGTATGTATTTATAAAGCTTACTATCTGTTTTGCATTTTCAGTTTTTGATCAGACATTTTATTTTATTTGTGAAATGCCCACAAAAAAGCTTCCAATGATTCAACATCAGTGTGTTTGCTGCATAATCATTCCTGCTGTGGATCATTCCTGCTGAATTTTTAGATCATTTGAAGACTACACAGAAAAAACCAGATAATATGTTACATTTTCATAGAAATTGATAGCGAGACAATTTTATAGGCAAGTATGTCCAACATGAGTTTCAAATATATCGGGCCCTAATCGTTCCTGAAAATAATATTTTTTTACATTGTTATACCATATTCTAAACTATTTAATATTTCAGTCACTTAAAAAGTTAATTTGTATTGAATAATTGTCTACCATTAAAGAAAATTTGGACTAGTATTTTTAATGGGCATATTCTGTGTATGGATATAGGGTACTTCCTCCAGATTTTGGGTTCAACCAATTTATTCTTAAAACCTGAAACATCTACGTATAAAAAATAGACAGGTTACTAATTATAATAAAATTTACCCTTAGAATTATACTTCTTTAACAAATAATTTCCATTGGTATACTTTTCCATGACAAGTAATCAACTTCCTAACATTTTTTAATTGATGTAATACTTCCTCATGATGCGAAAAGAAAATCTTTTCTTTAGCACACAAAGGACAAACGATATGTTGGCTTACTTTCAGATTAGTTACTTTTCCATAGATATCCTCATGTCAATTCAAAGACGATGAACATGAAAATGATTATCAAATGAAACATCACAAACTAAAAACCTAATAAACAAGTTTATATAGGATTCCCAACTTGAGCATCGGTGATTCCGGGACAATTATTTTTAAGTTTTTAAATAATTGAAACAAAACATTAAATATTAGAAATTAAAATATATTATATGTAAATGTGATTTTTTTGGTCCCGGCCAAGGCAAAATTTTCGCCGGGACAGACTTTCTGATTCCTGGTTAATCCCGGTCAAACCGGGACGGTTGGGAACCCTAAGTTTATATCGAATATAGAAATAAATTTAGTGTTCTTACCTATTGTCGTCCAAATCCACGTTAATAGATAATTAATTTTTTAGATTTTTATCTTTTATTTTTAAATATTATTAAATTAAACGAACTAAAAAGTCAAAAATATTAAACAATTAATTCTCTTGTCAATTGTCAATTTTCTCCAGGCACCGAACATTATCGATAACGCACGATCTACGACGATTACTCCTTTGATCTGATTGGACGAGGTGGCGGTATTCGAGGTGGCGGTATTCGTCCTACGGGGTATTTGTCCTACCAACCGAACGTCACTTCGGGCATGTTCGGTAGTCCTAAAAATTCCTGTTTCAGGAATTTTGTCCTGGCTAACGTACTAAATCTGTCAACGTCGCATACTTTTCAATCTTGTTTTGTTTTGGAATTTGACAAGATTAACCTCAGAAAAAGTTTAAAATTATAATTTTTATGAACATTGACGAATAATGTTATGAATAATGTAATAGAACCTGATATAAAATAATCCGGAAATATTTACAAATAAAGCATAAACAAAATGAAAGTGATAGCAACACGATTACCTTTGATAATGTGTTTTTTATATAAGAATACGTCTACATGGGTTGAAATCTCAGGTGTGTATCTAGATAATATGTATTCAAACAAAAGCTGTAAAACGATTAACAATTTTTAGAAAATATTAAGCTATCCACAAATTCCTGAAAATAAATTAGCCGTGATTTGCGGAAAAAATGTTCTTAATTATTTTTCCCACATGATGTCCTTTCAGGTTCCAGGTATGTGATATTGTTTTAATTGCAAGATCGTAGCTTACAAAAATTCATTCTTCAGGAAACAGCACGGGCATGTATTAGGCATAATAAGTAATTATAAAAATATGAGCAAAAATGAGATGGTTTAAAAGAGTGAAAATTTTAAGGTTAAGAAATCTGAAACTCAAAGGAAAACTGATTAAAAACTGATAAATAAGTACCGTTAAACTGGAAAAGCAAACTAGTAAGTATTTTATTATGAATCTATTCACTATAACATTGTGGTATTTTACGAAATGTATTTCTTTTGAATTACAGCTATACGCATAATACAAAAGACAATTTATCATCTTTAAAACCATAAGGCATATGATATATGAGATAGGTAGGTATGTACCATGTGGTAGGTACAATATGATCGAAAAAAAAACGGCGTCAGTGATGGCTATGAAATGAAGATCGGTGTCTTTTATATGTAAAATTATATAGGGAATGTCAAGGATCGTCATTTCCAAGCCAACTGGACGCCGTTTTTTCGATTATATGAGACATAAGTGTCAGCCTTCCTAGACCACAGACCTTTATATTATACTTCTAGCACAAGGACATATCGGCAAGCCTTAGGTTGGTGTTTACGCGTGTAGGTGTGAATCGCTATGGTGATCTGGTCGGAGATAGAAAAATATAAAATATTTATTACATAACCACACTTAATCTGATGATTTCCTATGCATTCAATACCAAGTTCAATACATCTGATTGTAATAAGCATATTGGCCATACTCTTCATATACATGAAAATCGTATCAATCGTGTATCACATAGCACATTTAAGAGGACTGATCCTATAAAGGCATTTATTTTTGTTTTCTATTTATAACCTCGTTAACTCATTTATTTTGTAGATTTATTGAATATTAAGCTCTAGGATAAAAAAACCTGCTTAGACAGAACATGGGTATTTTCGAATACTTTATTTAGAAGATCTTGTCAGGACAATGATATAAGATTACAGAAAAATATCTGACGTAGGACAAATGTATAAAGTCTTCAGGATACCCTTCGGGAACAATTTAGAATGATGCAGCGTAAACTACAGTAAAGTCTGAACATTAAAGCATAAAGGTAAATAAATTATCCATACATGTGTGCAGCAAAGTCGTAATATAATAAATTTATTGTTTTCAGAAACAAAATCCACAACTTATTCTGCCAAATACAAATAGTACACATCTTATTTTACTAAGCGTGTTGACCGTACTCTTCATACACACAAAAATCGGCACCCAAGGCCTGAAATGCCAACTCTAGTATACCTATTCTATGTAATAAATATTTTTTTAAGTATATTTATTTGTATTATTATCTTTCTAGATTAAAATATTTTTAATCAGTCTGAGAATCAATATGAATTTATTTTTAAAAAAGAACGAGTATACCTAAAAGCAAAAATGATTTAAGTTAGTATGTCAAAATAATAAGTTAAGGTATTTTTAGAAAACCTGTATTTTAAATTGCAAAAGCTGATAGAATTTCAAATATTTTTCAAACTAAAAAAATGTATCGATCTGAATTAATTTTTCAAATATAACCAGAAAAAAATATCTATCTTAAAGTTGCAGCTGTGGTTGCAATACTCTGTATTGCTAAAAAACATTTTATTTATTAAAATTACAAAATTACGGTATAAAGTTATAAAAAAGTACTTTATAAAAAAAGATCTCCAAATTGTCAAGAAAATAATAAAAAGGGAAAATTCTGAAATTTACAGAAATTTCTTTTTCACTTTATTCCAATTATGTTAATGAGAGTGAAAGTAAAGACTATGGAGAGCTTATTCGTAGTAAAGTAACTAGTTAATTAGTTATTCTGTGTATAGCAAAGACTACCTGTAACGACCCCTAAAAGTAGTTAATAATAATTTAACATTAATAATTAGGTATTTCTTGCCTGAGTGCCTTGAGACAAAACCGGTAAAATAATAAGAACAAAATATGTGAGCAAAGGAATTCATAAAAACCGTAATATGTAAAGTTGATTAAAACAAATTACATATAAATATATATAAATACTGTAAAATCAAAAAAAAAACAGCTGGAAGAGCAGCAATTTTTTTTCAATTGTATAGTACTGTATGATCGAAAAAAAACGGCGTCCAGTTAGCTTGTTAATGATTATCGATGACATTCCCCATATAATTTTAAATATAAAATGACAGCAATCATTATTTCATAGCCGACCACTGTGACCATTGTGTATTATTCTTATTACTAATACTGCACCCAATCACTTTTTTGACAATAATCTATAAAAAATAAAAAGGTAAACAATTTTTCATATTATAAAATAATTTATTTCATTACAGGCCATAGGCACAAACCGTCATTTTTACTCCGAATAGGACATGCTATTTTTTTCAAACGTCACAAATATTTTTTTAAACAATTTCAAACTTTGCAAATAATAAAAACAACAAGATTTAAAAAGTAATACCTTGTAACTAATTACACCGTATGATCGAATAAAAACGGCGTCAGCGATGGCTATGAAATGACAATCGATGACATTTCCATATAAATTTACATATAAAATGACAGCGATCTTCATTTCATAGCCATCTTTGAGGCCGTTTTTTATTCGATCATACGGTACTTATATCGAGAAACTATGGTTACACTCGTTGAATTTGACACTTTATATCAGTTTAATAATATATTTTCGTACTTTTGTGCTTATGCGTAAAAAGTGCTTTTATTTTATGCCTAGGCATTAAAATTACTTTTATTTTATCAATCACGTCGCCAAAATTAATACTTTTGTTGCGTTTGAAAAAAAATCATTTATTTGTAAGTTTTATAACATATCTAATTAAATTGGGCCGAAAGGAATCAGTTCTGAACACACATCCGTGGTTCTGAATCATTCTTAATTTATTTTTAAAAAAGAACATAAATACCTAAAAACAAATATAATTAAAGTTAGTAGATATGTCAAAATAATAAGTAAATTAGATATTTTTAGAAAACCTGTATATTTATTTAATTGGAAAAACTGATGAAATTTCATATATCTTTCAAATTAGAAATTGTATCCTAATTAATTTTTACTCTATTGCTAAAAAAACGAATATTACAAAAATTAAGTTATATTTAGTTATATAAAAGTTCACCATATTGTCAAGAAAACAATTTATTGCTTTTAAATTAAAAAATTATGTGCAAGTTAGGTTAAACTACAAGTTAAACAATATAGATAATCAAAATTTTTTGATAAAATTTGCTTTTTATGATGTCAGATCATTTCTATGAAAAATACACTAGATAGAATATATTAGATTTTTATTAAAGACGCTGATGGATAACTAAAACATTGACTAATAAACCTTGTCCATTTTAATATAAGAGGTCACGACATATTCCCCTTGGAATCTTTGTGAAGGTGTAAGGGGTGTATAGTGTGTAATAAATTAATCCTTGTTTTATAATAAAAACCATAAAACATTTATTTGTGAGTAAAATAATGCAATGTTGGTTGTATATAAAATGCCTGCCCCTCGCCTGTCCTAGGCAACCAAAAAATACATATAAAAAATCTTGTAACTTTAGATGAACTTTAGTAATTATGTCAGTAAACTCTTTAATTGGGCCTCTAGTCTATTATATTTAATGTACAAATATATTATTAAATTTTTAATCATAGATTAAATATTTTAATCTAAGCATTAAGTAATAAAACTATTTGTGCCCATTTATCATAAGAGGTCACGAAATATACTCTTGGTAGTACACAAAACAGTGTAAGGGGTGTAAATAAAATGTATAATCATTGATTTTTTATAATAAAAACTATAAAACATTTATTTCTTATTTGTGAGAATAAAAAAACAAAACAATGCATAATATAAACTATTTTAGAATTAGGCATAGGCAACCAAATACACAAGAAAAATAATTTAGATAAAACCTTGTAATTATTTATTAAATATGTCAATAAAGTCTTAATTAAGTCTCTAGTCTATTTTTATTTTATATTTACATAATATAAATACCTTACACTCTTTTTCCGATACAGAAAATTTTGTTAATTGCTTCTTGAAAATGCGACAACCTGACAACGCTGTTTTTAACGTTCGGGACGCGTTCGGGTGAACGACTCTACCCGAACAACTGGTAGGACAGATGCTCATTAGGACAGATGTGGTTCTCCCCATGAGGTGGCGGTATTCGTCCTACGGGGTATTTGTCCTACCAACCGAACGTCACTTCGGGCATGTTCGGTAGTCCTAAAAATTCCTGTTTCAGGAATTTTGTCCTGGCTAACGTACTAAATCTGTCAACGTCGCATACTTTTCAATCTTGTTTTGTTTTGGAATTTGACAAGATTAACCTCAGAAAAGTTTAAAATTATAATTTTTATGAACATTGACGAATAATGTTATGAATAATGTAATAGAACCTGATATAAAATAATCCGGAAATATTTACAAATAAAGCATAAACAAAATGAAAGTGATAGCAACACGATTACCTTTGATAATGTTTTTTATATAAGAATACGTCTACATGGGTTGAAATCTCAGGTGTGTATCTAGATAATATGTATTCAAACAAAAGCTGTAAAACGATTTAACAATTTAGAAAATATTAAGCTATCCACAAATTCCTGAAAATAAATTAGCCGGTGATTTGCGGAAAAAATGTTCTTAATTATTTTCCCCACATGATGTCCTTTCAGGTTCCAGGTATGTGATATTGTTTTAATTGCAAGATCGTAAGCTTACACAAAATTCATTCTTCAGGAAACAGCACGGGCATGTATTAGGCATAATAAGTAATTATAAAGAAATATGAGCAAAATGAGATGGTTTAAAAGAGTGAGAAAATTTTAAGGTTAAGAAATCTGAACTCAAAGAGAAAACTGATTAAAACTGATAAAATAGAAGTTTACCGTTAAACTGGAAGAAACAAACTATGAGAACTATTTTATTATGAGATCTATTCACTATGCCATGTGGTATTTTACATTGCATGTATTTCTTTTGAATTACATCTATCGCAATTAATACAATAGATCATATAAACCATCTTTAAATGCATAAGGTATAGATATGAGATAGGTAGGTATGAAGACCATGTCGGTTCTTAGGTACAATATATATAGAAAAACGGACCGTCAGTCCGATCAACCGGATCGCCGAAGGTCGATTGATAGTGTCTTTTCATATGTAAAATTATATAGAGTGAGGATGCTCGTCTAAGTAAGATAACTGGTGACGATTTTCGGGATTATCCGGTGAGACAGTGATGTCAGGAGTCCTAGACCAATACCTTTATATTCTTCTAGCACAAAGGACATATCGAAGCAAGCCTTAGGTTGGTGTTTGCAGTGTAAGAGTGTGAATGTATGGTGATCTGGTCGGAGATAGAAAAATATAAAATATTTATTACATAACCACACACTTAATCTGATGATTTCCTATATGCATTTAATACAAGTTCAATACATCTGATTGTAATAAGCATATTGGCCATACTCTTCATATACCATGAAAATCGTATCACCTGCGTGTATCACATTAGCACATTTAGACTGATCACTAAGGCATTTATTTTTTCATTTATTCGACTAACCTGTTAACTCATTTATTTTGTAGATTTATTGAATAATAAGCTCCTAGATAAAACTACCTGAGATAGAACATCACTATTTTCGAGATACTTTATTAGAAGTCTTGTCAGGACAATGATTAAGATCGTAGACGTGATATCGATGTAAGAATGTATAAGTCTTCGTGATATCGAAACAATAGCGAACATTTAAAGCATAAACGTACAGTAATCTGATGATTTAGCATAAATTTAAACCAAGTATCAGATACATGTCCACGGTCTTGCCAAATCGTAGTATAATATCTTTATTCAGCGCAGCCGAAACATTCATTTCATACACAACATTTAATTCAGCAACGCCAATCCCAGTACACAGATTATTTTATAAATATTTTTACCGTATTTTTATACACATTAATCTTCTCTATTTAAAGGAATTTGTGAATGCCAAGCTCTAGGATATACCTACCTTAGAATGTAATAAATATTTTTTTTTTAAGTATATTTATTTGTATTATTATCTTTCTAGATTAAAATATTTTAATCAGTCTGAGAATCAATATGAATTTATTTTTTAAGTAACGAGTAGATACCTAAAAAGCAAAAATGATTTAAGTTGCAATGTCATAATAAGTTAAGGTATTTTTGTATTTTAAATTGCATAAGTTTAGGAATTTCAAATATTTTCAAACTAAAAACGTATCGATCTGAATTAATTTCAAAGTAACCAGAAAAATTATGAAAAATAGCCTGAGTCTGCAGCTGTAATTAGCAATCCTCTGTGTTAAAAACATCTTTATTTATTAAAATATGTTAAAATTACGGTATAAGTTAAAAAAGTACTTTCATAAAAGATCTCCAAATTGTCAAGAAAATAATACAGGAAAATTCGAGAATTTACACAGTTCTTTTCACTTTGCTCTTCAACACACAAAGCATCGAGAAAGTGAAAGACCATGGAAGCTTATTCGTAGGCAAGTGCCACCTAGTTAGTGGTTATGCGTATATAGCAAAGACTAGCCTGTACCGACTTTAAAGTAGTTAATAATAATCTAACATTAATAATGTAGGTATTTCTTGCCTGAGAATCAATATGAATTTATTTTTAAAGAACGAGAAAAACCGGTAAAATAATAAGAACAAATATGTGAGCAAAGAGATTATAAAACCGTAATATGTAAAGTTGATTAAAACAAATTACATATAAATAGCATACTGTAATAAGTGTAAAAACAGTTGGAGAAGGTATTTTTTTTCAATTGTATAGTAAAGTATGATCGAAAACGGCGTCCAGTTGCTTGTTAATGACACGATCGATGACATTTCATAATTTTAAATACAAATGACAGCAATAAGTATTTCATAGTCGACCACTTGACCATTGTATTATTTTATTGCTAATACTCTGTACCCTCCAATTTTTGACATAATCTATAATAAAATCAACAATTTCATATTACAAAATAAATTTATTACAGGTCATAGAGGCACAAACCGTCATTTTTTACTCGAATAGGACATGCCATTTTTCCAACGTCACAAATATTTTTTAACAATTTCAAACTTTGCAAAATATATACAAGATTTAAAGTAATACCTTGTAACTAATTACCGTATGATCGAATCGACGGCGTCAGCGATGGCTATGAATGACAATCGATGACATTTCTCCTTACAGTAATTCACATAGTAAAATGACAGCGATCTTCATTTTCATAGCCATCGCTGGAGGCCGTTTTCGCGATATACAGTAACTATCGAAATTACTCGTTGACTCTGACACTTTTAATCCAGTTTAATATATTTTTCGTACTTTTGTAAAATGCGTAAAAAAGTGCTTTTTTATGCCTAGGCATTGTAAATTACTTTTATTTTATCATCACGTCGCCGTTCTAATGCTTTTGTTGCCTGAGAAAAAAAAATCATTTATTTGTGTGTTTTATAACATATCTAACTAAATGTCGAAAGGAAAGTCAGTTCTGAACACATCTGTGGTGAATCATTCTTAATTTATTTTTGCAAAAATATGTAAATTTAAAAATCAAAAATTGTGTTGGTAGATATGTCAATAATAGTAAATTAAGATATTTTTTAGAAAACCTGTATATTTAATTGGAGGGCCCGATTATCATGTCATATATATTTCAAAATTAGAAATTGTACACCAATTAATTTTGTTTCACTTGGCAACGAACACATAAAAATGTAAGTTAGTAAAGGAGTTTAGTTATATTAAAGTTCACCATATTGTTCACTGAAAATATTGGCCTTTTAAATTGTGCATTATGTGCAAGTTAGTTAAATACATGTTAAACAATAATAATCAAAAATTTTTTTTTTTTGATAAAATTTGCTATTTATGATGTCAGCCATAAACTGTCACCTAAATCCATTTTACACTAGATGGGGAATACATTAGATTTTTATAGCAAAAGATAGCTGAAGGTAACTATTAAACATTGACTAATAAACTGTCCATTTATGTATAGGTCAAGATTTGTCCTTGGAATCTTTGTGAAGGTGTAAAGGTGTATAATGGGTAATTAATCTCTTGTTTTTATAATAAAGCTCATAAAACATTTATTTGTGAGTTAAATAAACGCTGCACTCGCCTGTTCCAAGCAACCAAAAAATACATTTTTAAAATGTTGTCTTAGATGAACTTTAGAGATACGTTAAACTTATTCTAGTCTATTCATATTTATCGTACAAATATATTATTAGTTCTTTAATCATAGATTAAATATTTAATCTAAGTATTGCGGACAAAACATTTGTGCCTGCATTTTATCATAAGAGAGGTCACCGAAATATACTCTTGGTAGTACAAAACAGTGTAGTCAGTGTAAATAAAATGTATAATCATTGATTTTTTTATAATATGACTATAAAACATTTATTTCTTATTTGTGAGAATAAAAAACAAAACAATGCATAATATAAACCATTTTAGAACTAGGTATAGGTAACCAAACACACATTGAAATAATTAGATAAACCTTGTAATTATTTTATTAGTCATAGTCAATAAAAAGAATTAAGTCTCTAGTCTATTTTTATTTTAATATTTACATCAATATAAATACCTGGATAAACTCTGTAATTATTTAGCAAAAAGGTCTTAATTGCTCTTTGAAAATTAAAGACAACCTGACAACGCTGATTTTAAGTTCGGAAATTCGAGGATATTTTTTGAAACCTGTATTTGGATAGGGACAGATGACAGATTGGGACAGATGGGAGAACCACATCTGTCCCAATGAGCATCTGTCCATATACCAGTTGTTCGGGTGGCGTCGTCCACCCGAACGCGTCCTCGAAACGTTAAAAACAGCGTTGTCAGGGTTGTCGCATTTTCAAGAAGCAATTAAATGTAAAATTTTCTGTATCGGAAAAGAGTGTAAGGTATTATATTATGTAAAAATATAAAATAAAAAATAGACTAGAGACTTAAAGAGTTCACTTTATTGACATATTTAATAAATAATTACAAGGTTTTATCTAAAATTATTTTTCTAGGTGTTTGGTTGCCTATACCAATTCTAAAATAGTTTATATTATGCATTGTTTTGTTTTTTATTTCTCACAAATAAGAAATAAATGTTTTATAGTTTATATATAAAAATCAAAGATTATACATTTTATTTACACCCTTTACACTGTTTTGTGTAACCAAGAGTATATGCTTTGTGAAGTCTTAAGTGACAAATGGGTATGATTATAGTTTTATTACTATAATGCTTAGATTAAAATATTTAATCTATGATTAAAATTTATGCAATATATTTGTACATTAAATATAATAGACTAGAGGGCCCACCTGCTAAGAGTTTACTGGACATAATTACCAAAGTTCATCTAAAGTTACAAGATTTTTTTATATGTATTTTTGGTTGCCTAAGGACAGGAGAGGGCAGTTCATTTAACTCACAAATAAATGTTTTATGGTTTTTATTATAAAAACAAGTATTAATTTTATTATACACCCTAATTAATATGTCAGTCAAAGACTCTAAGTGGGAATAATGTCGTGACCTCTTATAAATAAAATGGACAAGGCTATATTAGTCAATGATCTTTTATCACACCCATCAGCGTCTACTTTACTAAAAATCTAATGTATGCTTTAACTAGTGTATTTTTCATAAGAAATGATCTGACATCATAAAGCAAATTTTATCACAAAATCATTGTATATTGTTTAAAGTGTAGTTTAACCTAACTTGCACATAATTTTTTAATTTAAAAGCAATAATTTTTTTTTCTTGACAATATGGTGAACTTTAATATAACTAAACTCACTTTATAACTTAATTCTTTGTAATATCTGTTTTTAGCAATTTTAGAGTAAAAATTAATTAGGATACAAGATAAAATCTATGGAAAATATCATAAAATAGTCAGTCTTTCTAATTTGAAAGATATATGAAATTTCACTCAGTTTTTCCAGTTTAAATAAATATACAGGTTTTCTAAAAAATATCTAATTTACTTTTATTATTTTGACATATCTACTAACTTTAATTTTTTTGTTTTTAGGTATTTATGTTCTTTTTTAAAAATAAATTAAGAATGATTCAGAACCACGGATGTGTGTTCAGAACTGACTCTTTCAGCCCAATTTAATTAGATATGTTATAAAACTTACAAATAAATGATTTTTTTTCAAACGCAACAAAAGTATTAATTTTGGCGACGTGATTGATAAAATAAAAAGTAATTTTAATGCCTAGGCATAAAAAATAAAGCACTTTTACGCATAAGCACAAAAGTACGAAAATATATTATTAAACTGATATAAAGTGTCAAATTCAACGAGTAACCATGGTTCCTCGATATATAAGTACCGTATGATCGAATAAAAACGGACTCAGCATTGGCTATGAAATGAAGATCGCTGTCATTTTATATGTAAATTTATATGGGAAATGTCATCGATTGTCATTTCATAGCCATCGCTGACATACGATTTTTATTCGATCATATTGGGTATAGTTAGTTACAAGGTATTACTTTTAAATCTTGTTATATTATTTGCAAAGTTTGAAATTGTTTAAAAATATTTTGTGACGTTTGCAAAAAATAGCATGTCCTATTCGCAAGTAAAATGACGGTTTGTGTACTCATGGTCTGTAATGAAATAAATTATTTTATAATATGAAAAAAATTGTTTACCTTTTATTTTTTATGATTATTGTCAAAAAGTGATTGGTTGCAGTATTAGTAATAAGAATAATACACAATGGTCACAGTGGTCGGCTATGAAATAATGATTGCTGTCATTTTATATTTAAAATTATATGGGGAATGTCATCGATAATCATTAACAAGCTAACTGGACGCCATTTTTTCGGTCATACAGTACTATACAATTGAAAAAAAATTGCCGCTCTTCCAGCTGTTTGTTCTTGATTTTACAGTATTTATATATATTTATATGTAATTTGTTTTAATTAACTTTACACATTACGGTTTTTATGAATTCCTTTGCTCACATATTTTGTTCTTATTTGTTTACCGGTTTTGTCTCAAGGCACTCAGGCAAGAAATACCTAATTATTAATGTTAAATTATGTGCTTTACTTTTAGGGTCGTTACTGGTAGTCTTTGCTATACACTAGAATAACTTAATTAACTAGTTGCTATACTCACGAATAAGCTCTCCATAGTCTTTACTTTTCCTCTCATTAACATAATTGAATAAAGTGAAAAAGAAATTTCTGTAAATTCAGAATTTTCTCCTTTTATTATTTTTCTTTGACAACCTGAAGATCTTTTATAAAGTACTTTTTTATAACTTTATACCATAATTTTGTAATTTTAATAAATAAAATGTTTTTTAGCAATACAGAGTATTGCACCACAGCTGCTAACTTTAAGATAGATATTTTTTCTGGTTATATTTGGAAAATTAATTCAGATCGATACATTTTTTTTAGTTTGAAAAATATTTGAAATTCTATCAGCTTTGCAATTTAAAATACAGGTTTTCTAAAAAATACCTTTTAACTTATTATTTTGACATAACTAACTTAAATATTTTGCTTTTAGGTATACTCGTTCTTTTAAAAATAAATTCACATTTATTCTCAGACTGATTAAAAATATTTTAATCTAGAAAGACAATAATACAAATAAATATACTTAAAAAATATTTATTACATAGAATAGGTATGCTAGAGTTGGCATTTCGAGCCTATGAATGCCGCATTTTGTGTGTATGAAGAGTGTCTGATCAACACGCTTTTAGTAAAAATAAGATGTGTATTATTTGTATTTGGCAGAATAAGTTGTGGATTTTGTTTCTGAAACAATAAATTTATTATATTACGACTTTGCTGCACACGCATGTATGGATAATTTTATTTACCTTTATGCTTTAATGTTCAGACTTTACTGTAGTTTACTGCATCATTCTAAATTGTTCCCGAAGGGTATCCTGAAGACTTTATACATTTGTCCTACGACAGATATTTTTCTGTAATCTTATATCATTGTCCTGACAAGATCTTCTAAATAAAGTATTCGAAAATACCCATGTTCCTGTCTTAGCAGGTTTTTTTTATCCTAGAGCTTAATATTCAATAAATCTACAAAATAAAATGAGTTAACGAGGTTATAAATAGAAAACAAAAATAAATGCTGCTATAGGATCAGTCCTCTTAAATGTGCTATGTGATACACGCATTGATACGATTTTCATGTATATGAAGTATGGGATAATATGCTTATTACAATCAGATGTATTGAACTTGGTATTGGAAGTGGCTGTGGAAATCATCAGATTAAAGTGTGGTTATGTAAATAAATATTTATATTTTTCTATCTCCCACCAGTGATCACCATAGCGATTCAACACTCTCACATCGCGTAACACCAACCCAGGCTTTGGCCGATATGTCCTTGTGCTAGAAGGTATAATATAAAGGTCTGTGGTCTAGGAAGGCTGACACACTGGCTGTCTCATATAATCATAAAAACGGCGTCCAGTTGGCTTGGAAATGACGATCCTTGACATTCCCTATATAATTTTACATATAAAAGACACTGATCTTCATTTCATAGCCATCACTGACGCCGTTTTTTTTTCGATCATATTGTACCTACCACATGGTACATACCTACCTATCTCATATATCATATGCCTTATGGTTTTAAAGATGATAAATTGTCTCTTTTGTATTATGCTGTATAGCTGTAATTCAAAAGAAATACATTTCGTAAAATACCACAATGTTATAGTGAATAGATTCATAATAAAATACTTACTAGTTTGCTTTTCCAGTTTAACGGTACTTATTTATCAGTTTTTAATCAGTTTTCCTTTGAGTTTCAGATTTCTTAACCTTAAAATTTTCACTCTTTTAAACAAAGACATCTAAATAAAAGGAGACGAAACAATTTACATTTTACCGCGATCACGAACCGTGTTGCACAAAAATCGATGATGCCAATTTTAAGTGACCGGTGGTAGATTTCGGCTGATTACGGTTTGAGTTCTAAATGCTATTGTCATTACAAGGTCATTAGACTAAATATTTGTGTAGTTATATTATTTTAATTATAATATATTAATTATACTAGGATTATACCTTTGAAATTATTATTAGTTTTCTAATTAAATTATATTAAAATTACGATTAAAATATATTAGGGAAATTACTAAGACAATCCGGCATCGCTACGGATTAATTTTTACTACGAATTGTCGGAATCTGTAGAAATTACGCTGACATTTGACGTATTCATTCAACTTTTGTTCAACGGAGCATTGTTGCGAGTTTTCTGCGACCGTTGGAAGTGTTTGTGGATTTCGGACAACTTTCGAATAATTATTAGAATTTATTGCAAAGAAAACTATTTAAAGTAGTTTTTTTAACTATCTACAATGGTTCGCCAGTGCATAGTTTGTTAAAGGTGGACTATTCTAACTCCTGGTTGATATTTGGACGGTAAGTGTTATTACATTTTTTTACCTTTAGCAATGCCTTTACAGTAGCGTATCTAAGTACTTTTAGTTATAAGTAGATTATTACAAAAATACGTATATCTTCTTATTTGCTGGCGTTTTTGATTGTGAAATTATACTTATCCTCAGTTAGACCTCAGGCAAAATCTTGGCAAAACCGATCTACATTTAAGTCAATTATTTTAAGTATTTATCCATTTCGCTGTTACAGTTGGTGGTAAAAAATGCTCAGGGGTAATACTGACTGTTCTCAACTTAACATTTAAAAACCTTTTTTATATTATATATCTAAGTACCAACTAACATTCGAAACCGCTACAAATATCTTAAAAAATTGTGTATGTTATGGCTTAATATCTGCTGGAAATAAAACAGCTGTTGCTGTTATAGGTAGTTAATACCTGAAATTTGAACACGATTTGAACATCAAAATTATTCAGTTATATTCTATATTAACTATGTGTACCTATATGTATGCTAAATTAGTATGACAAAGTTAGCTAATGTTCAATTAAAGACATTTAATTTTTATAATTACTTCAGACTTTGGCTAGATAATTTCCACATTTCTCCCCCAATGTTGAAAGAAAAACTGTTTTTGCAATCTAAATATTAATATTATTGAACTCTAGTTAACATTAGCAGGTTTTAGATATTAGCCGGTGCTTACATATGATTGATCTATTATTTATTTATTATAAAAAATTCTATAAGTAATTACATAATAGGTAGGGTTTAGATATAGGTATTAAAATTCAAATTAAAAAAGTTAATAAAATAAATAAAATTATAATGATGCTTCAGTACTTAAAAAATATGCACTGTTTTGAATGATAATGATAAGCCTTACTTATGATAATTCTTTACTCTTTCATTTATGATATTTTTTTTTTATTTTTGGAACCCTTTACACTTTTACCCACACTTACCTATACACCCACACACACACAATTCACAGACGAGTACATATCTCATCTGGTGTTTTAAATAGAGGAAAATAAACCTTGGAAAATTTTTCCTTTAGGTTAATTTTTCCTTTTTTTTTACCGCATATTTTTATTATTTTACATATATTATTAAATAGATTTATAATACTTAATATGTATGTGTTGCATATGTAACCAATAGTACTTTTGTAGCGTTCCTATAAATACTGAGCTTAGACAATGATCGATTTCACTCTTTGAATTTGAAAAAATCAAACTAACGTGTGTCCAAATTTGTTCTGATGATTTTGATAAGAGCAATATTATGATCGCCGAATTAACTGGATCGAAGGCAAATAAGACCAAATTCTGAGCCTCAAATAGATAGTACCATTTTTGCTGGGGCTTTATCATACAGGTAAAAAGCAGTCAAATACATTTTAACAGTTAATAAATAAGTATTGTACTAATATTAGTATTTACTCTAGGTTTTCTTCTAGTTTGTACCGCCACCCAAAAAATGTTTTAGATAAATGAACCTCCAGACCAGTTGAGGGACTAGAGAAGGTCCCTACCTAGTCCCGCGATTGGCAGTTTGGCTGGCCCCTCAAATTTGTAAGAACATTGATACATTTTATACATGTATTTTAATATTGATAATTAATTAAAATTCACAGGATTTTGCCTAAAATCATACAAGATAAACTAGCCCTTCTCAAGAAGCCCTTCCTCAAAACAACAGAAACGGCATTGAAAAAGAAGTTGGAATTAACCAGTATGTGCTCTTTGTAAAGGTGTATTCTGGATGTTTGACTGACAAGGCTTAAAAGCTCTTGTATTTTTAACAGAATGGGGAATATAGCTGTATTCATAACAAAGTAATATATATATAATAATATAATAATAATATAAAATGCTAAAAGTTTATCTGTGTCGTCTCTACTGAAGTAACGACTTGCTCTAGAAAGTTGCTTTTTTTACTAAAAGATAAAGCTATGGTGGCTCTTCTAAAAACTGTCATCGCCGGATGATATTTTGTTTTCATTTAATTAAAAATAATAATTTTTTTTTCCTGATGTCGTGGCGGGACGCGCCAGGCTTCAACTAGTATGTAATATATTTTAAATGAAATACTCTCATTATAACTATTATTGTCAAGTAGTGTACTGTGCCTTATTGAATACAGGTGGCGGCCTGTACACCCTCTTGCGAAGTATTTACTTTTTTTAACATACAGGGTGTCACAATAGTAAGTTTAATTTTGACATATCCAGGTATTTCTTTTAAAAAAATAGAGACGCGAAATTTCGGAGACACAATTTTTGCGGTAAAAAATCTAAATACATTCTTAATCATACTTTTGACGTAACTATAGTAGACGGGATACTTTGACACATTGAGCTTTTTCAAAATAACATTTTTTTCTGCTTTTGTTTGCCGTCTTAATTATTTAAAAATTGACATCTCTATCTTTCTTGCAGAAAAGGGGACAATTTGTTTATGTCATTAGCTTGTAGAGACTTGTTGCTTCTCATTGTCAAGCTTTATCGGTCGAATATCCAGAAACCCTGTATAATTAACATAGCTATCTTTTATTTTATATGTTTTGTCAAGGATATGTTATTTGGAATTATCTTTCACATTATAAGATCATAAACTACATAATTTTTGCCATAGTGTTGGTTTTTGTTTACATATATTTTCTATGAGTGAGCTTTTGTTTTGCACTAGAAAACATTCTCGCTTAATGATAAATTTAATACTATAGAAGGAAATTATTAGTATTTAGGAAAAAATTAAAAACGAAAATAGGTTTTATTGAAAAATTAATTATTAATGTTTTTTTGTTTGTTTACAGCATAGTAAGACAATCCTCATCTTCTGATCTCTCAATAGTTGGATATTTATTATCTCAAGAAAGTCGTCAAAGTATCAGAAAAAGGTAAAAATTACCTCTACATTATATACAAGGTGGTGCCTCTCCTACGACGCGGAGGCTCCAAAGAGAACGGTGGTTTTTATCGTTAATGTAATTTTGGGAGCATATGTAGGATAATGGAAAGCATTTTATAGAAATATCAAGAGTTCTGCGGGGTGTCCCCAAAAAAAGTTATGCATCAAAGTTTTTTTTTGTAATGGAACACCTATATATTAATTGATTTTCGGATTCTAGGAAAGAAATAAAGGTGAGTTTCATTAAAGAAGCATATGTCTAAAATGTAAGGCTTGTCATATTTCACATTTGGTGAAAATAATGAATAAACTTTAAATTTCAATAACAGCTACCTAGATGGAAATTTACTCATTGTATATTTAACCAAATTAAAATTTGACCTTAAGCATTCTATTAATTGATGAATGCACACTGCAATTAAAAGATCGGAATAGTATTCTGGGTGTTCAAATAAAAGGAAACTTGCTGTGTTCATTTCAAATAAAAGGGACTAAAATTACATTTTAGTCCAATAATGAAATTCACCTTTATTTTTCTCATAGAATCCGAAAATCAAATAATATATAGGGTGTCCCATTCCAAAAAACAAAACTTTGTTGTGTAACTTTTTTGGCGACACCCTGTAGAACTCCATATTTAAAAAAAACACATATTTTATCACATTTATATGTTTAAATGCTCTAAATTAACCTACATATACTCCCAAAATTTAATTTCAATACAAACTCTTTCTCCTTGGTAGCATTTAAGAGGCGCCACCCTGTATCTTAAGTAAAATTGTGCATAAGTTATTTTAATTTCAGAAAGAAGTATGTTAATGAGGCATTATAATGATATTATGTAGAAATTTAAGTCTTGTAAAAATTTGGAAACAAAGAAAATGAAAAATACATACTTTACAAATAGGTCTTAGAAGATTGAAAAATAAAATAATATCAATGCATCAGTTAATTGATTACTTAAAAGAAAAATTTTGATAAGTGAATAACTGAATTGACCATTCAGGGTATGAATATAGGTATGCAGGGGTGACATTTTTAAAAAAACATAATGGTTATAAGTCAAAGGTTATATATGAGGATCCAAAAATATATAAAAATCAAGTAAAAAATCAATAAAAGCAATTTCTAATAATTGAAGCTGTATCTCTTACTGTTTCTGAGATCCCAGTGCTTGTAATTATTATCTTGGACACACTATTTTATGTATATATTTGAGTGGCGGGCGGAGGGGAACTATAATAATGTAAAGTTATCAGCCATTTAATAATTTAGTCCTACAGCCATTATGTCAAAATCTGTCCCCAAGATTCATTAACAAGTTTTAAATTTAGTTCTGGTCTAATTTTGTGAAAATCCATATGACAGTGGCATAAATACGATTAATGGAAGGTTCTAATTTCCATGACAAGGCCAGATCTAAATTTTAAAACCCTTTAGTGAATTTGGATGTGTCTAATAATAATATTATAGAGATATAACATTAATAGAGATAATATATGTTTTTTTAGGCTTCCTTAGCTGAACCAGTACAAAGTATTTTTGAAAGAATGTTAAAAGGACCTGTGCCACACAAAAATCCAATCTTCTGCTACTATCCTTTGCTTTAACATTGTCATTTTATTCGCCGAAAACATAGAATTTTATAAGGGATACATAAACTGGCCCAGAGTTTTTTTAGGAGGCCTCTAAATTCCATTTAGTTTTCAACAATATTTTTGATATTTTTAACTCTCAGAATGGATTTACAAAATATTCATATAAAATAATTACCAAAATTATAAGAACAACATACTTTTTAATAATTTTGAAATAATTAAATTGTATATTATTGGACTTACTTTAAAAGAAAGGTCAACCATAGTTACAAAGAAAAACGGGATTTTTGGGCTTTCTAATTTGTATGGAAAGCTTACAACGTATGTATAAATACTATGTAAAAGAAAATCAATTATTAAAATATATTTTGACTAACTGGTGGAGGTCCACGTATACAAAAAGCAAAAACGGAAGATAATAATATATTCAATCAATGTAAAAATGAGAGAAGAGCATTGTGGGATTAAAAACATGATGGTGATAGATTGTCTAGAAAACTAATAGAATTACTGGTATTTGTAAGTACTAACCTTTCATTGTGTTTTGAATTTTTATTACTTTTTAAGAGAATTCAATATATTTAGATATTTTTTCAGTCTCAAAACAAACTGATGGTTACAAAGAAACAGAAGAAAAGGGAAGATATTAATTTACTAGACAAAAGGCTGTTCTTTTTGTAATATGGAGATGGGCAAAATTCAAAGTAGTAGTATTCAAAACAGAGAAGAACATAAGCTAAAGAAAAAAAGGGTTGTTAGACATTGAAATAAAAAAAGAACAGTAAAATTCTCAAAGAGAACTTATTTAATAATTTTAATTAGTGTTTATATTGTAATGTAAAAAATGTAATGTATGTTATTTCTGTAATCCCAGGAAACCCAAATATACTATAAAATTGTTGTTGATTTAAGGCAGTTATACTGTTGTTTCTGGAAATAGTAAAGAACAATGGTTCAAAGTATAAATATAATTAATTTATCCTACATTAGATTTACTAGCATTCCAACTTACCTCTCATTTTGATATTCTAGATTTTGTTCAATTAAACCGAGGATATATATTACAGTGTCGTTTAAAAGTCTCTGTCCTAAAAACTTAAGGAGGTTCATTTCTTGGCAATATGATTTTTCCTTACATCCACTCTTGAGGAAATCCATTTTCAATGAATATACCTACTGATCGACGTCTAGGATATCAAAAGTAATCATCGAACTTACGTAGAGGTATCATAATACACTTTTAGCTTTTCTCAAAGGAATAACAATAATTCTTCCTCGTTAAAACAATTTTTGTGTCTAAGATAGGTTCAAAGTGACCACTAGCCTGGAAATTTGACCGCTTAATTTAAATATAAATTCAAGTTAGATTAAAGCATAGTGCAAAGAAAATAAGCTAAACCATAATGTTAAGTTTTGCTTAAAAACTCTTGGTGCAAACGCCCTACATTGTATATTATCGATATTACTACGTATATTACAAATTAAAATTTAAATTAAAATACACAAAATAACTATTTTAAAATTTTTGATAAAAAAACACCACACCACCGTCACGCCACTGATGGAGTGAAATGACAGAAAGACAAACGAAACTCAACCGTGTTGTCATATTTATGTACCCATCTCTTTTTAACTCTCATAAAAGTGCCAAACCATGTATGATTCTAAAAAATTGAGTTTTATGAATGGAGTGTTCTGTCTACCTATATTTAGATGTCTTTGCTTTTAAACCATCTCATTTTTGCTCATATTTTTATAATTACTTATTATGCCTAATACATGCCCGTGCTGTTTCCTGAAGAATGAATTTTTGTAAGCTACGATCTTGCAATTAAAACAATATCACATACCTGGAACCTGAAAGGACATCATGTGGGAAAAATAATTAAGAACATTTTTTTCCGCCAAATCACGTATTAATTTATTTTCAGGGAATTTGTGGATAGCTTAATATTTTCTAAAATTGTTAATCGTTTTACAGCTTTTGTTTTGAATACATATTATCTAGATACACACCTGAGATTTCAACCCATGTAGACCGTATTCTTATATAAAAAACACATTATCAAAGGTAATCGTGTTGCTATCACTTTAGATTTGTTTATGCTTTATTTGTAAATTATTATCCGGATTATTTTATATCAGGTTCTATTACATTATATCATAACATTATTCGTCAATGTTCATAAAATTATAATTCTTAAACTTTTTTCGAGGTTAATCTTGTCAAATTCAAAACAAAAACAAGATTGAAAAGTATGCGACGTTGACAGATTTAGTACGGTAGCCAGGACAAAATTTCCTGAAACAGAATTTTAGGACTACGAACATGCCCAGTGACGTTCGGTTGGTAAGGAAATACCCCGTGTGGACGAATACTGCGCCACCTCGGACAGATGTGGTTCTCCGCGGTATTCGTCCTGCGGGTATTTGTCCTACCAACCGAATGTCACTTCGGGCGTAAATTCGTAGTCCTAAAAATTCTGTTTCAGGAATTTTGTCCTGGCTAACATTACTAAATCTGTCAACGTCAAAACTTTTCAATATTGTTTTGTTTTGAAATTTGACAAGATTAACCTCTAGAAAAAAGTTTTAAAATTATAATTTTTATGAACATTGACGAATAATGTTATGAATAATGTAATAGAACCCGATATAAAATAAGCGGGAAATATTTTACAAATAAAAGCATAAACAAATGAAAGTGATAGCAAAATCACGATTACCTTTTGATAATGTCATTTTTTATATAAGAATACGTCTACATGGGTTTCGAAATCTCAGGGTGTATCTAGATAATATGTATTCAGGCAAAAGCTGTGAAACGATTCTTCAACAATGTTTAGAAAATATTAAGCTATCCACAAATTCTGAAAATACCAAGCTGTGATACTACGGAAAAAAATCGTTCTTAATTATCTTTTCCCACATGATGTCCCTTTCTGTGGTTCCAGGTATGTGATATTGTTTTAATTACAAGATCGTAACTTACAAAAATTCATTCTTCAGGAAACAGCACGGGCATGTGATTAGGCATAATAAGTATTATAAAAATATGAGCAAAAATGAGATGGTTTAAAAAAGAGTGAAAATTTTAAGGTTAAGAAATCTCCACGGAAACTCAAAGGGAAAACTGATTAAAACTGATAAATAAGTACCGTTAAACTGGAAAAGCAAACTAGTAAGTATTTTATTATGAATCTATTCACTATAACATTGTGGTATTTTTACGAAATGTATTTCTTTTGAATTACAGCTATGCATAATACAAAAGACAATTTATCATCTTTAAAAACCATAAGGCATATGATATATGAGATAGGTAAGGTATGTACCATGTGGTAGGTACAATATGATCGAAAAAAAACGGCGTCAGTGATGGCTATGAAATGAAGATCGGTGTCTTTTATATGTAAAATTATATAGGGAATGTCAAGGATCGTCATTTCAAGCCAACTGGACGCCGTTTTTCGATTATATGGAGACATAAGTGTCAGCCTTCCTAGACCACAGACCTTTATATTATACTTCTAGTTAATAAGGACATATCGGCGAAGCCTTAGGTTGGTGTTTCTGGCGCATGTAGGTGTGAATCGCTATGGTGATCTGGTCGGAGATAGAAAAATATAAAATATTTATTACATAACCACACTTAATCTGATGATTTCCTATGCATTCAATACCAAGTTCAATACATCTGATTGTAATAAGCATATTGGCTATACTCTTTCATATACATGAAAATCATTATCAATCGTAGGTATCACATAGCACATTTAAGAGGACTGATCCTATAAAGGCATTTATTTTTGTTTTCTATTTATAACCTCGTTAACTCATTTATTTTGTAGATTTATTGAATATTAAGCTCTAGGATAAAAAAACCTGCTTAGACAGAACATGGGTATTTTTGAATACTTTATTTAGAAGATCTCACGTCAGGACAATGATATAAGATTACAGAAAAATATCTGACGTAGGACAAATGTATAAAGACTTCAGGATACCCTTCGGGAACAATTTAGAATGATGCAGCGTAAACTACAGTAAAGTCTGAACATTAAAGCATAAAGGTAAATCAATTATCCATACATGTGTGCAGCAAAGTCGTAATATAATAAATTTATTGTTTTCAGAAACAAAATCCACAACTTATTCTGCCAAATACAAATAGTACACATCTTATTTTACTAAGCGTGTTGGACCGTGACTCTTCATACACACAAAATCGGCACCCAAGGCCTGAAATGCCAACTCTAGTATACCTATTCTATGTAATAAATATTTTTTAAGTATATTTTATTTGTATTATTATCTTTCTAGATTAAAAATATTTTTAATCAATCTGAGAATCAATATGAATTTATTTTTAAAAAGAACGAGTATACCTAAAAGCAAAAAAATGATTTAATTTAGTATGTCAAAATAATAAGTTAAGGTATTTTAGAAAACCTGTATTTTAAATTGCAAAGCTGATAGAATTTCAAATATTTTTCAAACTAAAAAATGTATCGATCTGAATTAATTTTCAAATATAACCAGAAAAAAATATCTATCTTAAAGTTGTAGAAGCTGTGGTTGCAATACTCTGTATTGCTAAAAACATTTTATTTATTAAAATTACAAAAATTACGGTATAAAGGTTATAAAAAAGTACTTTATAAAAAAAGATCTCCAAATTGTCAAAAAGAAAATAATAAAAGGGAAAATTCTGAAATTTACAGAAATTTCTTTTCACTTTATTCCAATTATGTTAATGAGAGTGAAAGTAAGAGACTATGGAGAGCTTATTCGTAGTAAAAAGTAACTAGTTAATTAGTTATTCTGTGTATAGCAAAGAGACTACCTGTAACGACCCCTAAAAGTAGTTAATAATAATTTAACATTAATAATTAGGTATTTCTTGCCTGAGTGCCTTGAAACAAAACCAGTAAAATAATAAGAACAAAATATGTGAGCAAAGGAATTCATAAAAAACCGTAATATGTAAAGTTGATTAAAACAAATTACATATAAATATATATATAAATACTGTAAAATCAAAAAAAAACAGCTGGAAGAGCAGCAATTTTTTCAATTGTATAGTACTGTATGATCGAAAAAAACGGCGTCCAGTTAGCTTGTTAATGATTATCGATGACATTCCCATATAATTCTAAATATAAAAATGACAGCAATCATTATTTCATAGCCGACCACTGTGACCATTGTGTATTATTCTTATTACTAATACTGCACCCAATCACTTTTTGACAATAATCTATAAAAAATAAAAGGTAAACAATTTTTCATATTATAAAATAATTTATTTCATTTACAGGCCATAGGCACAAACCGTCATTTTAACTCGAATAGGACATGCTATTTTTTCAAACGTCACAAATATTTTTTTAAACAATTTCAAACTTTGCAAATAATATAACAAGATTTAAAAGTAATACCTTGTAACTAATTATACCGTATGATCGAATAAAAACGGCGTCAGCGATGGCTATGAAATGACAATCGATGACATTTCCCATATAAATTTACATATAAAATGACAGCGATCTTCATTTCATAGCCATCGCTGAGGCCGTTTTTATTCGATCATACGGTACTTATATCGAGAAACTATGGTTACACCTGCCGTTGAATTTGACACTTTATATCAGTTTAATAATATATTTTCGTACTTTTTGTGCTTATGCGTAAAAAGTGCTTTATTTTTATGCCTAGGCATTAAAATTACTTTTATTTTATCAATCACGTCGCCAAAATTAATACTTTTGTTGCGTTTTGAAAAAAAATCATTTATTTGTAAGTTTTATAACATATCTAATTAAATTGGGCCGAAAGGAGTCAGTTCTGAACACACATCCGTGGTTCTGAATCATTCTTCTTAATTTATTTTAAAAAGAACATAAATACCTAAAAACAAAAAAATTAAAGTTAGTAGATATGTCAAAATAATAAGTAAATTAGATATTTTTAGAAAACCTGTATATTTATTTAATTGGAAAACTGATGAAATTTCATATCTTTCAAATTAGAAATTGTATCCTAATTAATTTTTACTCTAATTGAATTAAAAACGAATATTACAAAAATTAAGTTATAAAGTGAGTTTAGTTATATTAAAAGTTCACCATATTGTCAAGAAAAAAAATTGGCTGCTTTTAAATTTAAAAAATTATGTGCAAGTTAGGTTAAACTACAAGTTAAACAATATAGATAATCAAAAAGTTTTTTGATAAAATTTGCTTTTTATGATGTCAGATCATTTCTATGAAAAATACACTAGATAGAATACATTAGATTTTTATTAAAGACGCTGATGGGTAACTAAAACATTGACTTGACGAATATTAAAATGGACAAGGACTAATAAACCTTGTCCATTTTAATATAAGAGGTCACGACATATTCCCCTTGGAATCTTGTGAGAAGGTGTAAGGGGTGTATAATAAATTAATCCCTTGTTTTATAATAAAAACCATAAAACATTTATTTGTGAGTTAAATAAACGCCTGCCCTCATGCCTGTCATAGGCAACCAAAAATACATATAAAAAAATCTTGTAACTTTAGATGAACTTTAGTAATTATGTCAGTAAACTCTTAATTGGGCCTCTAGTCTATTATATTTAATGTACAAATATATTATTAGGAAATTTTAATCATAGATTAAATATTTTAATCTAAGCATTAAGTAATAAAACTATTTGTGCCCATTTATCATAAGAGGTCAAGAAATATACCTTGGTAGTACACAAACAGTGTAAGGGGTGTAAATAAAATGTATAATCATTGATTTTTTATAATATAAACTATAAAACATTTATTTCTTATTTGTGAGAATAAAAAAACAAACAATGCATAATATAAACTATTTTAGAAATTAGGTATAGGCAACCAAACACACAAGAAAATAATTTAGATAAAACCTTGTAATTATTTATTAAATATGTCAATAAAGTCTTAAGTAAGTCTCTAGTCTATTTTTATTTTATATTTACATAATATAAATACCTTACACTCTTTTTCCGATACAGAAAATTTTGTTAATTGCTTCTTGAAAATGCGACAACCTGACAACGCTGTTTTTAACGTTCGGGACGCGTTCGGGTGGACGACTCTACCCGAACAACTGGTAGGACAGATGCTCATTAGGACAGATGTGGTTCTCCCGATTGGACGGTTCAATGACGGTTGGTTGCGTATTTTAATGTATCCTGTGTTTATCCAAGACCAAATTAAGATTAGTTTGTAATTAGTTTGTGATTTATATTAAGATCTTCCTTATAATATTTGTTATGTCTTAATCTTAATACTATATTATGCTTTGTCTGGAAAATAAATGTTAAAATATCTTAATTTTGCATATCCTATTCCATCCTTCCATTATCAAACAATATATTATAATATATTATTTATATTATAATATATTGTTTGATAATGGACATAGTTACATACAAAGCAAGTTAAATAAAAGCTTATAAAAATAGCCTCCAATGAAGAAACTAAATAAAAAAATGGTCACTTGGCATTAGCAAGCCTCCAAATAAGTAGTCTTCATCGTTTTGAAAAGCTCTAGAGTGTGAATATACTTTTGAATTGAACATTAATTTTGAATTGAATTGAAAATTAAACAGACTATATTTTGAATTATTTCCATAATTATTTGTGCAACCAGCAGCCGCACATCCCGGAAAACCTTTTCCCATTCCATCAATAAAAATAAAATTGAAATAAAAGCACAAATACCTATGGTTAAATATAAGAAAAAAAAATCGAATTAAAATCTTCCGTAATACGGCCCTACGCGCCACAGGTGGAGGCTATGCATCACACTATGCATCGACTGAATGAGGCTGACTGTCGGTCGCTTAATTCAGTTAGCGCATCGTCGGAGTGGGACGTTTTAAATTCGAGCGTGGGAAAAATTGGCGAGTGTAATTAATACATTATAAGTAAGATGTTACTTAATTTTGCATATCCTATTCCATCCTTCCATTAGGAAAAATATGGTTTATAAATCATATATGCTAAGAAAATCACATAAATTAGGTGTAAGAATAGAGAAATCTTAAGGTAGCAGAAAAATTAATGCAATATATGTACCGTATGATCGAATAAAAACGGCGTCCAGTTGGCTTGGAAATGACGATCGATGACATTTCCCATATAAATTTACATATGAAATGACAGCGATCTTCATTTCATAGCCATCGCTGACGCCGTTTTTATTCGATCATACGGTAAGAAGCAGAATTAAACAAGGTAACAGTTAATGTTGCTGAAGCTGATTCTACAATTTTAATTACGGAGGCTAAAAGACCTTTTAAGGCCTCCGTAGTTTTGATGGAATGTTAAAAAAAAACTATTATGAACATGACATGGAGCTACATCATTTAAAAATTAAAAAAAAAGAAAAAACTTGGACACATCCCTTTTAATTTCCCGAATTTTTAATAAAGCACTTTTTAAACATAGTATAACAATCTAGAGCAATTAGATTAATTATGGGAATCTAGAATTTTATTTCTTTTTAATTTTATTGACTATGAAAATACATAATAAGCGTGTTCACGTGTTGTGCGAAATATTAAAATAATAATATAAATAATATACCGGCGTACTATGATTGAAAAAAAATAGCGTCAGCGATGACTATGAAATGAAGATCGCTGTCATTTTATATGGTAAATGTCCCCAATCGTCATTTCCCAGCCAACTGGACGCCGTTTTTTCGATCATACGGTATATATTGACAAAAAAAAACACTGAAAAGCACATATTTGTTTTCTACTGAAAATAATTCCAAAATAACTTGCAATCTGGCAACATCGAAGATGTGCGCATGCGTAGTGTCAGGGTGCAGCCACACTATCCTAAAAACGGCGTATCGGCGTAACCGCGTAACGACCTTGAATCGATTTCCAGAAATTCTATTGGCTGAAATTTTTGACAGATGAATTTGACAGATAAAATTTCTGACAGATGAATGTTTCAGGGTGCAGCCACACTATCCTAAAAACGGCGTATGTAGCGCGGTGTAACGACTTTGAATCGATTTCCAGTTATTCTATTGGCTGAAATTTTTGACAGATGAATTTGACAGATAAAATTTCTGACAGATGAATGTTTCAGCCAATAGAATTACTGGAAATATATTCAAGGTCATTACGCCGTTACGCCGATACGCCGTTTTTAGGATAGTGTGGCTGCACCCTCAGCCAATAGAATTACTGGAAATCTATTCAAGGTCATTACGCCGTTACGCCGATACGCCGTTTTTAGGATAGTGTGGCTGCACCCTCAGTGACTATATGCAGCAAAAACTCGTTTCAAGATCAGCCACCGGATCCACACCATTACCGAATTCCTTATTTATTTTATTTTATTTTATTTGGCTGTATGAACCCACCTTTACTTCTCAAACCCAAACTAACCCAAACTTAAACCCACGTACATATTTTTAGACGAACGGTGATACGCGATGCGTGGATTTGAAATGCAGGTTGCTAGGAGCAGAGGCACAGAATTATACATCACTTGAAATGCTGTTCAAGCCACAGAATATACTAAGGAAAAAGAAGCCCAAGTTCCTTGTAATAAATCGGTTCCATTTTCGTAACGCCATCTCTCGACATAGCTGACATTATAGGTTAGCCAAAGGGGTGCGGGGCCGGGGGGAATTGTAAAATACACTTTTTTATTTTAATTATTTTTATTCGCTATTTGCAATTTTATTTTTTTAAAACATATTATGTGAAACAATCACATAATATGTCTTAAAAATAAAATTACAAATGGAAACAAAAGGAATTAAATAATCTGAAAATCTACAAAGTTTATTGATAAAAAAGTTAGGCTATGCAAATTGATAAGTATATTAAGTATAACCTCTTTGGTATAACATTGTTAAACAAACATTAACAAATCATAACATATCAGATCATAGAACTAAAAAAAGTACTATTACATAAAAACAGGTGATACAATACTTCAAAATTAATTTTAACATAATATCCAAACCAAACATAATATCAAAACCGAAAAATCAAACTGCAAACACAACCACACTTATCACAACAGAAATTAACACACACTCCCGCGGCAAATGTCCAAGAAAGACTGATCATTCATTCTGATTGGTCCTGTCCGGTCGTAGCTCACGTCGTATTGTCGGTAAGCAAAATCCCTGTACAAAAATTTTGACGATCAGCGCCATCATCCGTCATAATTGGGAAACTTTTGCTGGAACCATTTTTAATATTTCACTTACATGGCCCTGGTTCAAGCCGCACGGATGTCAAACGTAAGTTGTGACGTAAGTTTGATATCCGTGCGGTGAGTAGGAGGGGGGCTAATCACTGCGACCTTAGAGATCTATTGTGTCCCGATGTCAAACGTGACGTCACGCAATTAGTTCCCATTTAACCAATGCTATTCAAAGCTCTTTGTAGCTTCTGTATTGCTGTCCTCTATTTGCGAATTTCAAGTTCCAGAGCTTTACGCGCTGGGCTGCTCAGAACGGTTCTGAAAGGAGCTGTGCGAGATAGCCTGGTGCCTCCATATGGCGCGGAACCAGTTCTGAACTTTATGAATGGAGGGAGAGTATCGCGAACTAAATTGAATAGAGGGAGAGTATCGCGTTCTTAAACAGTTCAGAGCTTAGGTTCAGAGCTGCTCAACTGCGTGAAAGGAGGATAGCATATGGTGTATAATTCTGTGAGGGTGCATCGACATTATCCTAAAAAAAGCGGATCGGCGGCGGCAGGATACATTAAAATACGCAACCAACCGTCATTGAACCGTCCAATCAGATCAAAGGAGTAATCGTCGTAGATCGTGCGTTATCAATAATGTTCGGTGCCTGGAGAAAATTGACAATTGACAAGAGAATTGTTTATTATATTTGACTTTTTAGTTCGTTTAATTTAATAATTACTAAAACCAGTAGTTCGAAAGATATATTTAAAAATAAAAGATAAAAATCCAAAAAATTAATTATCTATTAACGTGGATTTGGACGATAATAGGTAAGAACACTAAATTTATTTCTATATTCGATATAAACTTGTTTATTAGGTTTTTAGTTTGTGATGTTTCATGTGATGATCATTTTCATGTTCATCGTCTTTGAATTGACATGAGGATATCTATGGAAAAGTAACTAATCTGAAAGTAAGCCAACATATCGTTTGTCCTTTGTGTGCTAAAGAAAAGATTTTCTTTTCGCATCATGAGGAAGTATTACATCAATTAAAAAATGTTAGGAAGTTGATTACTTGTCATGGAAAAGTATACCAATGGAAATTATTTGTTAAAGAAGTATAATTCTAAGGGTAAATTTTATTATAATTAGTAACCTGTCTATTTTTTATACGTAGATGTTTCAGGTTTTAAGAATAAATTGGTTGAACCCAAAATCTGGAGGAAGTACCTATATCCATACACAGAATATGCCCATTAAAAATACTAGTCCAAATTTGCTTTAATGGTAGACAATTATTCAATACAAATTAACTTTTTAAGTGACTGAAATATTAAATAGTTTAGAATATGGTATAACAATGTAAAAAAATATTATTTTCAGGAACGATTAGGGCCCGATATATTTGAAACTCATGTTGGACATAGTATTGAGTTGGGTAGAATATTATTCTACGTTAAGTGAGGGTATCAGATACCTATTATTGTACTGTATTTTAATATATACATTAGAATTGTTGGTTTTTTCATATTTGTTTTATTTATTATTTTACTTACAAGTTATATAAAGTTAACACTAAAATCTACTTTTTGACTTATATAAGTTAGTCTGTGGTTTAATGCGTGATTACATCCACATGATTTCAAGTTTTTAAAATATAAATATTATAACTGGCTTTAAAAACTCCATTAAACTGTTAAAAGTGTAATTTATTTCAAAATAAATATACATATATAGGTATATATTAATATCGAAAAACATTTTTATTTCCTTAACACCAATTTAATCATCACATACATATGTATAAACATTTATTTACGTTATTTCAAATGAAGACCACAGGAAAAACCAGCTTTGTTCATTTTAACTGGAGCCGAGAAAATGCAATTACGAGTGAACTACTCTGGTTTTTCTCCTGTAGGGCAAAATAACTAAGCTGTAATATCTCTGGGACTAAGCATATTATTATTGCTTTCTTTGATGGTGCCTCGAATAATGCTAACACTTGCCTATAAAATTGTCTCGCTATCAATTTCTATGAAAATGTAACATATTATCTGGTTTTTTCCATGTAGTCTTCAAATGATCTAAAAATTCAGCAGGAATGATCCATTATGCAGCAAACACACTGATGTTGAATCATGGGAAGCTTTTTTGTGGGCATTTCACAAATAAAATGAAATGTCTGATCAAAAACTGAAAATGCAAAACAGATAGTAAGCTTTATAAATACATACATATATATAAATAATCATACCTACATCTATTTATGTCGTACAATCCAACCGATATTTTAATATCCTAGCCCAAGTAAATAATCAAATGCACTTTTTATATCAAAAGCAGTAATGTTATCAAGGGTTCCAATTAATATCCAGGATTTAAAAAAACACGATCCTAATTCTTATTATTTTTCTAAATACGTATTGTCTGATAGGCAATTACAAAATATAAATCTGATGTAAATAGAAAAATAAAGTAAAAACTGTAAAAACAGGTAAAAACAACAACAAAAATTCTAACCAAAGATTTAACCGTCATACGACATGAGCATCACGTGATTGCACAATACCCAACGATAGGGTACGTACCTCTTTCATCTGATTGGACGGTTGGTTGCGTATTTTAATGTATCCTAAAGCCCCGTTCTCAGAACTGCGTCGTGTCGACAGCGACACAGTTTGACATTTCAAACAACCAATGAGAACTGTACTAAATTTAAAATTGACAGTTGTTTGAATTTTGTACAAATCTCATTGGTGCTTTTGAAGTGTCGCTGGCGACAGTCGCAGTTCTGAGAACGGGACTTAATGGTCCTGGCGGCGGCGTATCGGCGTAACGACCTTGAATCGATTTCCAGCAATTCTATTGGCTGAAAAATTCATCTGTCAGAAATTTTATCTGTCAAACTCACCTGGCAAAAATTTCAGCCAATAGAATTGCAGGGAATCGATTCAAGGTCGTTAAGCCAATACGCCGTTGCGCTGTTTTTAGGATAGTGTGGATACATCCTACGTACCAAAACTTGGTAAAAACACAAAATAGAAATCAATTGATGATTCTTGATTTCTATTTTGTGGTAAAAAGGTAAATAGAGAGATCACATGACCCCACATTTTTGCACCAAAAATGTACAATCCCACTTAAAAAAGTACAATTTCGACACCATTTATAGTACAAAAATTTTTGCCCTTGTAACAACGCTGTCTGTGATGTTCTGTGTTCTGTGTTTGTTGTTCTGTGGCAAATTCTGTGAGAAATAGATAGGAAATAGGTGAAAATCCTTTTAACGTTTATTTTCCATTTTGCCCAATAATTATTGCAATTTGCAATGCAGAGATAAAAATGTCTAGTTAATTCTGCAAGGTAGTCAACATGATTTCAACGGAGATGAGAATTTATTCATGGAAACTTGTATTTTGAAGAGCAATCCAGAGGAACAACCTTGTTTTTACTGATTTTTTTAGTTTTCACCTGCATAATAATTGCAATAGTAGTTTTTGGACATATTTACGTTACATTGTGTGATTTTAATTAATAAGTTCAAAAGTAATGTGCTTTTAGTTTAACGTTGCAGGTAAATTTTTTATATCATATTTGGAATACAAAATTTATGATAAAAGATTTTAGAAAATGACTACTGAAGTGTTGGGGCTGATCAGTCTCACAGTAAAATTGAACAAAAATGAACTTACTAAAATGATTAATATTCATACAGTCTGTAGGGTATGTGCTAATGAAAGTGATAAATTCGTTAGTATATATAGTGAGGACGGGGTAAATAATGACTTGGCTAATAAAATTAATCTTTATTTGCCAATAAAAGTAAATGATGGGGATAACTTGCCCCTTCAGTGTTGTTGGCAGTGTGCTTCAACAGTCTTAACATGGCATGAATTAGTACTTACAAGTACAGCAGCAGAAAAGAAATTTAGGTCTTACATACTTGTTAAAGAAGAACATTTACAGGAAATAAATGATTATAAGCCGCCTAAGAGTACACAATCACCCTCAGAAGAAGATGCTGTGTAAGTATAAATATCACTATAATACTATATTATCTGACAAATGAATCTGAAGCAGCAAAAGTAAAGCAAACAAAAATCAGAGTTTTTTTTTCAAGTTTAGTTATCTACTATAAATTTTATATACCTATATTAAATGTCTAAATTCTAGTTGGTTGATTCCAGCATATACAGGGTGTTTCAAAAAACATGTGCCATCTCTCGTGGGGAGACTCCTCATGTACAGGGTGGACCATTTTGGTTGTTTCTATAGGCTATCTAGGAAACCGTGAGAAATATTCAAATTTTGATACTGCAGTCTCATTTGCTTATGTTTGTTAAGCTCAATATAACATTCAAACATATATTTCTCAAAATTTTCAAATTTACTATTTTTTTAATATTTAAAATGCACACACTTCCATAGACAAACAAATAAAAAGAGACTGGCAAATTAAATGGCAAAGAGAGGGACAACGTTCCCGTAGCGCATCACAGAACGCAAAATTTCATTCTATTTATGTTGATCTGCGCATTGCGTCTATTGGGCCCACTATCTCAGTCTAATATAACAAGAGAGAAAAAAGCAGCCATATAAAACGTAATTTCTAAATAGAAATTAGAACAATCAATCTGTGGAACAATCGCCTTTCGTTTTCGTCATCATGACAACCAAGATGACAACATCATGACAATTTGTCATGTTTGTTAATATGTTGTTAATTTTTCTTTTGGTGATTTATCTTTTTTTCTAAACTCTCCATTTTATTGACTTATGAATATGGATAGGGAACAAATTCCTTTGTTCCATATAGGTACTTATATTTTGTTACTTATAATTTTAGGTTATACTATTTATTTGTTATTTTATTTGCTGCAGGAGCCAGTATCATCTATTTTTTATATGTATTGGTACCCCCTTTCTCTGATAGATATGTTAAAGACAACCTGTAAAATAAAAGTAAGTAGTTATATTTATCATCTTATTAAGAAAAAAGTAGAAGTAGTAGTGTCAAAAATATTTCGAACCTCTCTTAGCATAACAAATTAATACAATTAATTTTTTTCATTTTTGGGTAGATAGTTTATAGCTGGTTTATAGTAACCAGAAACTTTATTAATATACCTATTTTACTTTTGTTTTAGGATTAAAACTGGACTTGAAAATGGTCCAGGATCATGATTTTCGTAAAGTCTTCTTTGCTTGGATATTCACTTTGTTATTGCAATTAGGCAGTTTTTTCGGGCTTCGGTGAACTATCCTGACACACGATTTTTCTTAGAAAATGAAGTTTATGTTACTTTAAAATGAACTTCTTGGATTCTTTGGCTAAAATCTGATGCGGAAAAACACGTTTCATATAAAAAAAACATTCTTAAAAATGTTATTTTATTTTTATAGCAAATTCCTGGGCAAATTCCATAACCGATACTGAACACAAAACATCCCCCTTTAGAACTTCGTCTGTCATGTTAAGAAATGAAAGTAAATAATAAAGCACCTCTCGTGTTTGTTCGCACGCTAAAAATTTCAATTATTGCCTGTATATATTTTTTAAATTTACATTTTTTTAATTGTAAAGTAATATATTACATTTAAATGGAATATATTACATAACAATTATGTCAATTACAGGATTACAAGCTTGTTTTTTAACATTTTTTAAATAAAACGAATTATAAAATTTCAATATATGTATATTTGTCGTAGGTATGAAAAAAGTAAAATATAAAATGGACAAACGCTTACTTACATTGCAATAAAACTTCCACTTTTCGTTTTGCAATCTAAACGCAATTATTTCTATTTCACAAATAAAAATATCCGACAACACTAAAATCACTGAAACTTCCGCGGCTGACAACGAAAACTGAAAAATATAACGGCACTTTTTGTTTTGGACCTGCATATCAATATAACGCTGTACCATTATTGTATTATTTTGAAATAATATAAAATATCTAATTATAACTTGTAAATTTTAATAGTTTAACATGATTTTAACTATTTCTGACATTAACTAACTTTTTGTTATCAAGATGACATTTTAGACGGCAACTGACATATATGTCATAATATTTATATTTTAAATATGTAAATATAATTTAAATTAATATAATGCAACTTTATACTAAGAAAACATTTATACATTCACAAAATACAACAAAGTATAATAATATAGTTTGAAAACAATGAATATTGAGTTAAAATTAAAATAAAAATTAAAAAAGTTAAGCGCGACCCCTTGTGTCAAAATTAGATAATTAAATTTTCGCAGTTTTTTTCACCATTTGATGACCGGTGGCGCCTCTAGTGTTTGTTCGGGCGGTTGGTCTTTTACTCCCGCTTATGGCCATTAAAGAAAAAGTTCTAAAGGGGGATGTTTTGTGATACTGAAAGAATCGCGGACTTGTTTATATCCGTTTCTATGTTTACGCTGTCAGTAGTGAAGGTCGAGTTTAAACAAATATTGCGAATTGATACATGGTTGTCAGATCAGCTAGTAAATTATCCGGAGTTT